ACGAGAGAAACGTGATGGCACAAAATTAGTTATACTACTTATTTGATAATGGACTGTGGGCTGCAATGTTCTTGGCAAGAAGGAAAGATTTTAACTGGTCTTTCTACTGTTTAAAGTGTTTTACACATTTAAGAGAAAACTTAAAAAGCAAGCTACAAATATCCACAGTGGATTCTTTCACATTTCAACCTGTAGCAAACACAAATTGCTTTTGGAGTGACCAGTTTACTATATTCAGTAGAAATTAAAACATGTAATTTTTTTTTTAACTTTGTGCAAAAAGTAAGCAGCAGGAGGAAGATATGCTTTCAACATTTAAGACATGTTGTTACCAACAGAAAAAATTCAAACTAATTTCCTAGTAAAGTCAATCTCAGTAATTGTGCACAAATCTTATGTTAGACCAGAAGTTGAATTCAACAAAGAGACTGACAGAAAAATTCCTTTTGATACCTGCTCTCGCTCTACAGGACTGCTGAACTAGTACCACCTGGGACCCTGCGGAAGTTAGGGAAGAGCAGTGGGCTGACCGCACTGAGCCGGCTGTTCCCAACCCCAGGGTGCTGTGCTATCGGTGACATTTTTTTGCCGGCCATTTAGAAGGAAGCAGCTTTTGCAGTATTCAAACTCACACTGGATACTTCAATAGCGACAGAAATCTCAAGTCAAAATTCTGATTCCATGACTCTTAATTAGACTAGCAACTTAATATCTCAGTATTGATTTTGCCATTTGAAAACAGGAATAAAATCCATATGACATTATTGTTATAAAGATTACATAAAATACATAGCACAGATAAGAAAACAAATCATTACAATGAAGGATAATAAGTGAAGTGCTTTGATGGCTCAGCTTTGGGAGGGAGGTAGAGGCAGTGAGAAGTTAATAATGAAACTAAATATTACAAAGGAAAAATAAAAATTAGCCAAATAAAGGAGAGCACACACCCCAAGCAAAAGAAAAAACAGGGTTGGGAGGATGCTGCAGAAGGCAAGGATATACAATGAAACTTCACATCTTCAGAAAACATCAATGAAAGGGAATCCCGGCAATTCTCAGATCTAACATTCATGATTTTTTCCATTTACAAATATACCTACAGGATCACGACATATACTGAATCTTTCATTTTGATTACAGACAAATATGAATCATGAATAATATAAGACTAGTACACTGACATCTAAAGATGACTTCTGAGATACTGGGGTGACAGAGTCAGTCAGTTCAGTTCTGTTCAGTCGCTCAGTCGTGTCCTACTCTGCAACCCCATGGACTGCAGCACGCCAGGCCTCCCTGTCCGTCACCAACTCCCGGGGTTTACTCAAACTCATGTCCATTGAGTCAGTAATGCCATCCAACCATCTTATCCTCTGTCATCCCCTTCTCCTCCCACCTTCAATCTTTCCCAGCATCAGGGTCTTTTCCAGTGAGTCAGTTCTTCACATCAGGTGGCCAAAGTATTGGAGTTTCAGCTTCAACGTCAGTCCTTCCCATCAACACTCAGGACTGATTTCCTTTAGGATGGACTGTTTGGATCTCCTTGCAATCCAAGGGACTCTCAAGAGTCTTCTCCAAAACCAAAGTTCAAAAGCATAAATTATTCGATGCTCAGCTTTCTTTATAGTCCAACTCTCACATCCATACATGACTACTGGAAAGACCATAGGCTTGACTAGACAGACCTGTGTTGGCAAAGTAATGTTTCTGCTTTTTAATATGCTGTCTAGGTTGGTCATAATTTTTCTTCCAAGGAACAAGCGTCTTTTAATTTCATGGCAACAGTCACCATCTGCAGGGATTTTGGAGCCCAGAAAAATAAAGTCTGACACTGTTTCCATTACTTTCCCATCTATTTGCCATGAAGTGATGGGACCAGATGCCATAATCTTAGTTTTCTGAATGTTGAGCTTCAAGCCAACTTTTTCACTCTCCTCTTGCATTGTCACCAAGAGCTCTTTAGTTCCTCTTTGCTTTCTGCCATAAGGGTGGTGTCATCTGAATATCTAAGGTTATTGATCTTTCTCCTGGAAATCTTGATTCCAGCTTGTGCTTCATCCAGCCCAGCACTTCTCTTCACTCTGCATATAAGTTAAATAAGCAGCGTGACAATCTGGAACCAGTCTGTTGTTCCAAGTCGAGTTCTAACTGTTGCTTCCTGACCTGCATACAGATTTCTCAGGAAGCAGGTCAGGTGGTCTGGTATTCCCATCTCTTTCAGAATTTTCCACAATTTATTGTGATTCACACAGTCAAAGGCTTTGGCATAGTCAATAAAGCAGAAATAGATGTTTTTCTGGAACTCTCTTGCATTTTTGATGATCCAGCGGATGTTGGCAATTTGATCTCTGGTCCTTCTGCCTTTTCTAAATTGAGCTTGAATATCTGGAAGTTCATGGTTCATGTACTGTTGAAGCCTGGCTTGGAAAATTTTGAGCATTACTTTGCTAGCATGCGAGATGAGTGCAATTGTGTGGTAGTTTGAGCACTGCCTTTGGCACTGCCTTTCTTTAGGACTGGAATGAAAACTGACCTTTTCCAGTCCTGTGGCCACTGCTGAGTTTTCCAAATTTGCTGGCATATTGAGTGCAGCACTTTCACAGCATCATCTTTTAGGATTTTAAATNGTGTTGACCATCTGGTGATGTCCATGTGTAGAGTCTTCTCTTGTGTTGTTGGAAGAGGGTGTTTGCTATGACCAGTGTGTTCTCCTGGAAAAACTCTATTAGCCTTTGCCCTGCTTCATTCCGTACTCCAAGGCCAAATTTGCCTGTTACTCCAGGTGTTTCTTGACTTCCTACTTTTGCATTCCAGTCCCCTATAATGAAAAGGAAATCTTTTTGGGGTGTTAGTTCTAGAAGGTCTTATAGATCTTCACAGAACTGTTCAACTTCAGCGTCTTCAGCATTACTGGTCGGGGCATAGACTTGGATTACTGTTATGTTGAATGGTTTGCCTTGCGAACGAAAGGAGATCATTGTATCATTTTTAAGACTGCATCCAACTACATTTTGGACTCTTTAGTTGACTATGATGGCTACTCCATTTCTTCTAAGGGATTCTTGCCCACAGTAGTAGATATAATGGTCATCTGAGTTAAGTTCACCCATTTGAGTCCAATTTAGTTCACTGATTCCTAAAATGTCGATGTTCACTCTTTCCATCTCCTGTCTGACAACTTTCAATTTGCCTTGATTCATGGAGGTAACATTCCAGGGTCCTATGCAATATTGCTCTTTACAGCATCAGACTTTTCCTCCATCACCAGTCACATCCACAACTGGGTCTTGTTGTTGCTTTGGCTTCATCTCTTCATTCTTTCTGGAGTTACTTCTCCACTCTTCTCCAGTAGCATATTGGACACCTACCAACCTGAGGCGTTCATCTTTCAATGTCCTATTTTTTTGCCTTTTCATACTGTTCATGGGGTTCTCAAGGAAACAATACTGAAGTGGTTTGCCTTTCCCTTTTCCTGTGGAGCACATTTTGTCAGAACTCTCCACCATGACCCGTCCATCTTGGGTGGCCCTACATAGCATGGCTCATAGTTTCACTGAGTTAGACAAGGTTGTGGTCCATGTGATCAGATTGGTTAGTGTTCTGTGATTGTTGTTTTCAGTCTATCTGCCCTCTGACGGAGAAGGATAAGAGGGTACAGAAGCTTCCTGATGGGAGACGTGACAGAGTAGTTGGTGATACTGATAAGAAATAGGAAAAGGAAGTTATCAGGTGAAAATGAATTTCGTTTTGATATCTAAAAATAGTGATGTTTCCTAAAGGCAACACAGAATGAGGGATAAGAGCCCAGGGAAAACATTCAGCTTTGTCTCCTACAGTTCAGAATGTTATTAACATTATACAGGTGGTAATTGAATCTATGGTACCAAGTAGATCAATCAAAGATACTGAAGACAGTAAAAGAAAAAAAAATTATGACTAAATTCCTACTTACACACGTCCATTTTAATTCAGTGTTAATGCAAGAGGTCTAAGCAGGGTGATTACTGTATGCCCAATAGTAGCTTACCAAACCAGGCTCAGTGATGAGGGAAGCATGTAGATAAAGAAGTAAAGACAAGGGTAAAAATAAGGTGCTTTTAAGTTGATGCCATTGTCAGTATCAGTAAGAAACAGGTGACTGTGTTAATGAGAAAGGCGGTACTCGGTTATGGAGTTTTAATTACATACTACAAAAAAGACTGAATCTTATCTTTTAGGTCTCAGTGTTCACTAACTGTCCTGAATGGATGAGATGAAAATCTAGGAGAGTAAAAATCCTTGAAGACGATTTTCTTGGAGCATGTTTGTCAGAATCACTGCTTTAAACAATGGTACGGCACTGTAGGTGTTTCAGCAGTGAGTACCATGATGAAAGGGATATTGAGGAAAACCATATAAAGGCCTATGGGAAGCATTGGTGGGGTAGAGGCCAGGAAGCAATGTATAACCCTGAGACGTGGATTTTATAGAGAAAGATGTAGGTTCAGCTCCCAGCTCTAGCAACTTACTAGGTATGTGACTTTGAGCAAATTACAACCGATTAGTACTTAATTTACTCATAGGTAAAATGGAAATAACAATACCTACCTTACAGGGCTGTGATGAGAATTAATGAAAAGAATAACTATAAATTATATTAAAATGAATATAAGCACTTTGGTTTGTCACTGTTTATTACAGTAATATTAATAAGAAACCATCTAGTAATCCAATTAAACCAACAGCAATAAAAATCTGAATCATGAAATTAAGTCATTCTTTAACCCCAGTTTGTAACTGATTTTAAAAATGCCAGATTAAAAAACATATTTCAAATCATTTCAGAAATTGCAAACATTACTGACCACACAAATCATTTTATAAATCAGTTCAATGAACATTTAAAATCTGCTGTAAAACATGCTGCCCTATATATAGCAGTAGACAGAAAAATGAGTGAGAATATAGACCCCAATCTCTTTTACAATTCTGAACAAAGGGCAAATTAAGAGTTTTACCTGACTAACTCGATTCACTTCCTCCTCTTCTTCCTCAGCTTCCTCTCCAAAGGAAAGTAAACTAAAATTTCTATTCAAAAAGAAAGACGGAAAAAAGAATGAAATAAAATTAGGAAGAAAAAGTTAAAAGTTATAAATATCCTATTTTCAAAGCAATAGAACACAATTTGCTAAAATAAACACATTCTCTCAATAGACAATAATTACTAATATAATAAGAATATATATTTTCAGCATAACATTAAATGTTTGGTTCCAGATGTTTTATATATTGTTGATATTGTTCAGTTGCAAAGTCATGTGCTAACCCACAGACTGCAGCATACCAGGCTTCCCTGTCCTTCACTAACTTCTGGAGTTTGCCCAAATTCATGTCTATTGAGTTGGTGATGCTATGTAACCATCTCATCCTCTGCTGCCCCCTTCTCCTCTTGCTTCAATCTTTCCCATATTTCACATATTAAACTAAACTAATGACCAAAAATCTATCCTGAAAACTACCATTAAATGCACTAACTCAAGCATGACAGAAATAATGAAAGCTCTCTGTGGGTTTCCTGGGTGGCACCTGCATGCCAGTGCAGCAGACATCAGAACCTCCGGCTCTATCCCCAGGTCTGAAGATGCCCTGGAGGAGGGCACAGAAACGCAGCCCAGTACTCTTGCCTGGACGACCTCCATGGACAGAGGAGCCTGGTGGACCATAGTCCACAGTGTCGCAAAGAGCTGGGTATGACTGAGCAACTCAGCACAGCACAGCACACTGTCAAAACTAGGCAGCAAAATAAGGATTGCTAAAAAACTAATAAACATATAGCTCCGAGAGTACTATAAATGGGAAGCAATTCATCTAGTGTCTGCCAAAATAATTCCAATATTTTAAAATTAGTAAGTTACACAAAATTATGGGGGGGGGGGGGCAACAAACTTAGCTAAGCAAACAGTCCATGGGAATAAAAAACTAACTTTGTCTTTTTTGACCCTTCAGATTAATACATCACAAGGAAGATAAATAGTAAGTTATTAAAACTCCTCTGAAATACTGGAAAAACAAAAGATCTGGCAATAAAAGAGGAATTTTCATTTCAAAACTTACTTAGATATAATCAGTAACTATCACATCACCCCTAACATATTTGCTATGAATTAAAAACAAAATATCCAACTTTTGGTTTTGCTGTCAAGATAAATCAGTGATGAAATATTATATCTGAATATAGTGACACTAACTTTTCACCCCGATATAAATTAATCAAAATAAATTAATATAAAATAAAAAGAAATCAAATAAATATACAGTTGTGTAAGAAGTTATTTTGCCACAAGATATCAACTGCCTATTAAAGAGTCTGGCTCATATTTGACAGTTTATAACAGCAACTTAACTTACATTACAGGATATCAAAGAAAGGAAATGAATATGTATTGAATACCCACACTATTGGGTGTCTTCAAATTCCCCTTCTCATTTAATCTTTGTAATAAGCAGATCCTGTACTATAAATCTCCATTTTATAAGATGGGGAAACTGAAGCTCAAAGAGCAGTAGACTTTGCTTCCTATAACTGCAGTAGGCAGGATTATACTTAAAGCTGTCTGAATCTAACACTTATATAACAAAATCCCTAATAAGGATGCTACAGTTTAGTAAAAGATAAAGTTGAACTCTAACTCTCTGATACCTATTTTAATAAAACAAACAAAATTAATAATGTAAAGAATATTACTCACAAAAATACTGAAGACATTTCTGTTATTAGAAAACTATCCTCAGGAATTAACCCAGAATACAGAAAGATCTTTATGTGTAAATATATTTATAATAAGGTTATTTTAATAGCATCAAAAAAAGGAGTGAGACAGTTAAATAATATTAACCATGTAGTCATTATATCCTTCATACTTTACTTTTTAACTTCTTTATCCTGAGTATGTATTATTGGAAAAACAAGTAAACAAACAAACAAACAAAAGTTTCAACAACTCATTTTATAAATAATTCTTGTGGTGGTCATAAATATTTACCTATTTATTAACAGATCTCATCAAACATCTCAGACATACTATTTTAGCTTAAGGTTTTAAGTTATACACTGTATTTGAATATAAGAAATGTACATCTAGAAAAAGAAACACACACAGATAATTTAGGCATCTATCCTGGTCCAAACCGGCCTCCCCCTAATTACTAAACAATTATTACAGAAGGAAACAAAGTGAAATAAATAAATCAGTGTTGCTTTTCAAGTTGAGGAAAAAAATCTTTCTACTCTGATTACTTTGTGCCTTTGGGTTTCAATTTCTTCACTTCCTCCTCTGGTTTTTCTTTTTTTGGCTTTTTTATTTCTCTTGGAATGATGTCATCAAAAGGATTAAATAAAACCTATGAAAAGACATATTTTGAAAATATTACTCAATTTTGTTTTAATTTCACAAAAAGTTAAAACCGATATTTAATTATGGTGCCATTAGTATCTATAATTTCTCCTCACAGAACCAGTATAACAATATATACACTTCCACTTACATGGCCTCATTGGATTCTCCCAGTAATCCAATGTGCTATTAAGGAAAACATGTTTTATACTTATTTTACAAAAGGGAAAGACATTCAAGAAAACAATATATTAGTTAGAGAGACAAACACAGGTATTTTTTTTTTAAACTCAGGTATTCTGACTGCAAATCAAATGTTCTCAGGCCCTTGTTTTCTCAATGAAGGATTGCTCTTAAATTACCTAAGACAACACTTCACTGGGCTAAATAAACCTAATTCATCCAGCTTTGCATTATGGAGTTTTTCATTCATTGGATTATCAGCTTAAGTTTCATCCTCAAATCCAAAATCTTCCATTAAAAAAATTCTTAATCAGAAATTGTAACTAAATTACAGAGCTAAAATCCAAGTTGAAAAGTTAATTTAGTATAAAGCTTCATCTGATAACAACACAAATATTCAATTTCTTGTAAGTGATAATTAAAGTAATATATCTCATAATAATCGTGCTCATACCTCACAACTTCTTATTTTATGTGGATTTCGTGGTCTTTCTTCATCATCAATGTCTACTTCTGTCAGGCGTAGCATGTTATATACTGTATCCCCTGTAACCTATCAAATAAAAAAGGAAATTTAATTGAAAATTATAAAATTCATTCTTTGAAATCAGGGAGGACTTTTGAAAATATTTTTAAAATAATTAAAAAGGCATTTCATATTGTTATATAAGATTATACACATTAAACAGTGCAAATAAAGCAACATAATCCTAAGGGGAAAAGGTTTGACGAACTTTAATTCCTCAATAAGATTTTTGGGAAATTCCCAATATATACCTAATGTCAGTTTTTATTAAAAACACAACGCCAAGTAACTTCCTTCTGAATGACTATTTTTGTTCAAACATTATAAACAAATTTAGACTTTAGAAGGGGGTAGAACAAGCAAATAATAAAAACAATGCAGTAAGTGCTTTGAAGACATTATCATGTTTAATCCGCAAAACATCCTAAAAGTAGGTACTATCGTTATCTTTCTTTTTTAGATAAGAAAATTGAGGCTGAAAGAAGTTGTAGATCCGACAGTGACCGCCTTTCTGACTTCTAACTACTATGCTATACTTTGCCTCTACCGTGTGAGTTATATAACATCTGTTGTTAACAATGGTGCAGGACAACCTAAATATCATTTTATTAAATACTTTTTGGTTTTTTTAAATAACAGGGAGGAAAATCCATGAATGTCAGACAACCTGTCTTGGAGTGGCTCAAAAGTATTAAGCAACAATACTGCACTGCATGTTTTTGGCATGACTCCTTTCATTCACTAGAAGGCACTGGAAACCTACTCCAGTACTCTTGCCTGGAAAATCCCATGGACAGAGGAGCCTGGTGGGCTTCAGTCCATGGGGTGGCAAAGAGTCGGACACAACTTCACTTTCACTTTCACTTTTCACTTTCATGCATTGGAGAAGGAAATGGCAACCCACTCCAGNCACTTTCACTTTTCACTTTCATGCATTGGAGAAGGAAATGGCAACCCACTCCAGTGTTCTTGCCTGGAGAATCCCAGGGATGGGGGAACCTGGTGCGCTACCATCTATGGGGTTGCACAGAGTCAGACAAAACTGAAGCGACTTAGCAGCAGCAGAAGCCTTTCATTCAATATTTAAAAATCTAAAATAATACCAGTTTTCCAGTTGTTCTGTTTGTTTTTATCCTTTTCATCAGCACAAATCCAGTTTTGTCTGGATGTGGGGAAACCATTCTAATTGAACCAGCAGAGGGAGCTAATACACTAGTGATGCCTAACACTTAAGGCATCTGAGAACATATTCATGAAAAGGGAGAAGCATGAGGAAAAAAAAAAAAAACCCTTCAGAATCCCTTTAAAAGAAAACTACTGAAAATTCTATGGAAGTGACAATCTCTGATATGCTGTTAAATGTCAGCAGGATTAAATAGGTACTATCCAAAGTAACATTTCAGGTAAGCAGTTTAAATGTTAACACAACTTCCACTTTAAACTGAAGGGAATTCATTATTAACAAAATAAATTTTAAACTACTAAATGTTACTACCTAAATGTCTTTCTAAAAACATTAAAACGTATCAGCTGAGCGACATAGCAGTTAATAATGATTAAAACAATTTCAGAAAAAATAAAAATTTCAAGTTAAAAATCAATGACTTGCCTGAAACACACACAGAAAAATTCAGGTGGTCCCTCACAGTGCCTTATAACAGGAATACGAACATTTCACCATTTTTAGAAATAATAAATAAATATCCTAGGGAGTATTTTTATGAAGGCAGTTCTTAGGTAAGTTGATCACATACATCATAGAAGCCTAAGATAACTGGATACAAACCTTTCCAAAGATGGTGTGCTTATTGTTAAGTTCATCAGCTCGACCCAGGGTAAAGAAAAACTGGCTGCCATTATCGTGAGGGCCAGCATTTGCCATGGCAACCAGTCCTCTCCGATTAAAACGCAACCGTGAGTGGAATTCATCCTGAAGCATTAAAAAAAAAAAGATTTAGTGAATGTCCTCAGTTATTAGGCCCTTCATATTTCAGCAAACAAAAAAGGTTACACAACTTCTACTGATTTTCACATATAATCAAATCCAATATCTACAGTATCTTCAATCTACTAATCTTGACTTTACTCACCTGTGTCTTCTAAATATACTCAAACACATATTTTTTGTGGGAAGTTGCCTACTTACACTGAGAAAGGGTACTCAAGGGGAATGGATTTCTGAGACATTTCCCTATTCTTCTCATCCCTCAAAGCCATCTAGGCTTTCAGTTCAGTTCAGTTCAGTTCAGTCGCTCAGTCATGTCCAACTCTTCGCAATCTCATGAACCGCAGCACACCAGGCCTCCCTGTCCATCACCAACTCCCAGAGTTCACCCAAACCCATGTCCATTGAGTCAGTGATGCCATCCAACCATTTCATCCTCTGCCGTCCCCTTCTCCTCCTGCCCTCAATCTTTCCCAGCATCAGGGTCTTTTCCAATGAGTCAGCTCTTTGCATCAGGTGGCCAAAGTACTGGAGTTTCAGCTTCAACATCAGTCCTTCCAATGAACACCCAGGACTGATCTCCTTTAGGATGGACTGGTTGGATCTCCTTGCAGTCCAAGGGACTCTTCAAGAGTCTTCTCCAACACCACAGTTCAAAAGCATCAATTCTTCTGCGCTCACCAGTCGAACTCTCACATCCATACATGACCACTGGAAAAACCACAGCCTTGACTAGATGGACCTTTGTTGACAAAGTAATGTCTCTGCTTTTTAATATGCTGTCTAGGTTGGTTATAACTTTCCTTCCAAGCTTTCAGAACCATCTATTTCTTTTTTCTCCAGGATAACTACTTTTGAGTCATTATAGAGGCTTCAATGGGTTTCCTTTGTGGGTCAGTTGATAAAGAATCTGCCTGCAATGCAGAAGACCCCAGTTCAATTCTTGGGTTGGGAAGATCCGCTGAAGAAGGGAAAGGCTATCCACTCCATATTCTGGCCTGGAGAATTTCATGGACTATATAGTCTATGGGGTCACAAAGAGTCAGACATGACTGAGTGACTTTCACTTTCACTTTAAAAATTAAGCCACATTATTAAATCTGAATTAATTATTAGGGCTTCCCTTGTGGCTTAGCTGGTAAAATATCCACCTGCAACGCAGGAGAGCTGGGTTTGATCCTTGGGTTGTGAAGATCCTCTGGAGAAGGGAACAGCCACCCACTCCAGTATTCTGGCCTGGAGAATTCCATAGACTGTACGGTCCATGGGGTTGCAAAGAGTCGGACATGACTGTGCAACTTTCACTTCACTTCAGAAGCTTCAACTATTCTCTTCTTGATCCTTTTCTGAATGTCATGAAACAACTGTTTTCTTATTTTTTTTAATTCAAGGAAGCTACTGTGATTGTGTTAGGTGCTTTACTATGCTTTTTAAAATTTTAAGTTGAAATTTCTTTGAACTAGCACTGGTTCCATTTGCCAGTTTTCAAAAAAGCAGGAGCAAGCCATTCTAAGGTGGTTTTCTTGCTAGGGTAGGGCTACCTAACATTTACACCAGTCGCTTAGTTAACAGAAGACCTGATACTAGACTCACTATAATATAGACATGTTTTATAATCAATGCTTTTCAAAAAGAAAGTTCTTTTCCTTTAGTAAATTCTTCTCAAGAGATCTAAACTCAAAAGATCGTGACTCTATACACTGTATTAAAAATGACCTAACTGAAAAATTTACCAGGCTTCCCTGGTGGCTCAGTGGTAAAGAATCCACCTGCCAATGAAGGAGACATAGGCTTGATCCCCGGTCCTGGGAAATTCCACATGCCATGTAGCAACTAAGCTGGTAGGCCACAACTCTTGCACCTCCACTCTAGAGCCTGGCTATTGCAACTACTGAGCCCACGGACTGCAAGGAAGGTAGCCCCCACTCACCACAACTAGAGAAAAGCCCACGCAGCAGCAAAGACCCAGCACAGCCCAAATTACACAAAATCAATTTAAAACTTTACCAACATAACTGTATTACCTGAATAAAACAAGCAAAAATCTCCATTTAGAAAGGAATTGTCACAAAGAGCTACTCTGTTAACCAAATAACAAAGGAATGCTTCCTAACAGATGGGGCTCTAAAATAAAGAGATATCTCAATTTTGTAACATATAAAATAGTCTGACAGTGACATTTGAGATTTTTTAAACTATTTCACATGCTCTAAAGGCCATTATCATTTGAAAATTAAAGCAAACAGTTCAAGTATTTTTCTCAAGAGTCATATAGTAGCCCAGTATAAAATTAAAGGAAATTCCAGACACTATCCTTTTAGTGTAAGTGTGAATTTTTTAAAAATTCACATATTTTAAGAGCTACTGATGTTTACTAATAGAACATAATATTGATACCATAAGATTGATAAATAACCTAGCTTGTAGCCTTTACTTGAACCCACCATTATCCTTAATATCTTAAATATGACATTAACTCTTTCTTTTTAGATCTATGTTAGCAGTTAACAAAGCATTGACCTATTTTTGATTAAAACTTACATCCTTTCTAACATTTTTTATGTTGCTTCTTTCTTCTATTTCCCCGTGTTATGGCATGCATTTTGTGATTTCTTATTAAGGCATGCAGTTTGTGCTACAAAGGTTTACTGCGTACAGGTTAAAATGAATTCTGCTGTGGACTGAATTATGTCCTCCTGGAGTTCATGTTGACACTCTAACCTCCAGTGTGACTGTACCAAAGAGGAAAAGACACTAAAATGCTCTCTCTCCAGCATGTGAAGACGCAGCAAGAAGGCAGCCATTTGCAAGCCAGCAAGAGAAACTTCACAGGTAGTGAATGCTAGTACCTTGACCTCAGACTTCTCAGCCTCCAGACTGTGAGAAATAAACTCCTACTGTTTAAACCACACAGTCAGAAGTACTTTTTTATAGCGGCTCAAGTCAATTAATATAAATTCTATGTATTGTTAAAATAAAATGTTTTAAAATCAGATGGTATATGCAATGTTCTAGAAATGTTTTACATGTGCAAAGTTATAGAGATCAGATAGTCAGATATCAGGAAAAATGCTATACAGTCTTTTCTCTGATTCACATTATTCTCATTACCACTTTTAGCTCCACCTGAATTCAATCTAGCATAAAACTCTGTGATAAGACAACTTAGAAAGAAAGCTTAATGGGATAAGTGCTGCACTTATTCTGTATAATCCTGAATATGTTATAGACCCAATTTTGTGTACTAATGTAAAATGCATTTTCTTCTGGGGCTCAATCATTTCAATTAAGCAATCCAAACTGACCTGAAAATAAATTGTAAAATTCACGCTCACCTTGAAGGGGGCCCCATAGACAGACTCTCCACCAGTCCCTGTGCCAGTGGGGTCGCCCCCTTGGACTATAAAGCCAGGCACAACTCTGTGAAATATGGTGTTGTCATAATATGCTGGAAGAACATAAAAAAGAATTTGTCATTCTCTGTCATTTCAGTGTTAGTATAAAGAAATGCAACAGATTTCTGAATGTTAATCTTGTATCCTGCTACCTTGCTGAAATCATTTATCAGTTCGAATAGTTTTTGTGTGGAGTCTTTGGGGTTTTCTACATAGAGTATCATGCCATCTGCATATAATGACAATTTTACCTCGTCCTTTCCACTTTTGATAACTTTTATTTATTTTGCTTGTCTAATTGTTATGGCTAGGACTTCTAATACTACTGAATAAAAGTGCTAAGAGTGGGTATCCTTGCCTTGTTCCAAATTTTAGCAAGAGGGCTTCCAGTTTTTCAACACTGAGTATTATGCTGACTGTGGGTTTGTTACAAACAGCTTTTATTATGGTGAGATATTTCCCGTCATACCCATTTTGATAAGAGTTTTTATCATGAATGAACACTGAATTTTATCAAATGCTTTACTGAGATGACCATGTGGTTTTTGTCTTTTTTGTTGACAAAACAGTCCCTTTTAAAACCACAATAAAAAATAAAATAAAATACCTAGGAATAAACCTGACCAAGGAGGTGAAAGACCTATACACTGAGAACTATAAAACACTGATAAAGGAAATCAGAAATGATTCAAAAAATGGAGACATCCCACACTTGTAGGTTAGAAGAATTAACATTGTTAAAGTGGCCATACTACCCAAACCAATCTAAACATTTAATGTGATCCCTATCAAATTATCTATGACATTTTTCATGAAACTAGATCAGTTCAATTCATTCGCTCAGTTGTGTACGACTCTTTGCGAAGCCTAAATTTATATGCAAAATATAAATGCCAAAATGCCAAAGCAATCCTGAGGGAAAAGAACAAAGGTAGAAGCATAACTATTTCAGACTTCGGACAATACTTCAAAGCCACAGTAATCAAAACATGTGGTCTTAGCACAAAAACAGACATATAGATCAATGGAATGGAATAGAAGGCCCAGAAGTAAATCCAAACACTGTGATCAATTATCTTCAACAAAGGAGGCAAGAATAAACAATGGAGAAAAGACAGTCTCTTCAGGAAGTGGTATTAGGAAATCTGGACAGCTGCATATAAATCAATGAACTTAGAAAACAAACTCAAAATGGCTTAAAGACTTAAATATAAGACATCACACAATGAAACTCATAGAAGAGAACATAAGCAAAACTCTGACATAAATCATAACAATGGTTTCCTAGCTCAGTCTCCCAAAACAAATAAAAATACAAGCCAAAGTAAACAAATAGGACCTGGTCACACTTATAAGCTTTTGCACAGCAGAGGAAACTATAAACAAGATGAAAAGACAACCTACGGAATGAGACAGAATATTTGCAAAAGATGAGACTGACCAGGGATTAATTTCAAAAATATACAAACAGTTCATACAGCTTAATAGAACCAAACAACGCAATCAAAAATTGGGCATAAGATGTAAATAAACATTTCTTCAAAGAAGACATACAAATGACCAACAAACACATAAAAGGATGCTCAACATTACTAATTATTAGAGAAATGCAAATCAAAACCATAATGAGGTATCACATCACACCAGTCTAAATGGCCATCATCAAAAAGTCTACAAATAATAAATGGTGTAAATGTCAAGAATGAGAGAGTGTAGAGAAAAAGGAAACCCTCTTACACTGTTGGAAATGTAAATTGGTGTGGCCACTATGGAGAACAGTATGGAGGTTCCCTAAAAAAACTAAAAATAGAGTTACCATGTAATCCAGCAATCCCATTCCTGGGCATATATCTAGAAAAGACAAAAACTCTAATTTGAAAAGATACACACACCCCAATGTCCATACAGCATTATTTACAATAGCCAAGACATGGAAGCAACCTAACTGTCCAACAACAGATGAATGGATAAAGAAAATATGGTTGATAGATAAATATAGCAATATATACATACACATTTATCAATATATATATCTACATTTCATGAATGGATGATGAGCAACATGAATGGACTAAAGATTATCATATTAAGTGAAGTCAAGAGTATGTATGATATCACTTATATGGAGAATCTAAAAAATGATATAAATGAACTAATTTACAAAACAAATAGACTAGCAGAGGTAGAAAACAAACTTATGGTTACCAAAGTGAAAAGGGGGTGGAGGAAGGATAAATTAAGAGTTTGGGGACATCCCTGGTGGCCCAGTGGTTGAGAATCTGCCAATGCAGGGGACATGGGTTCGATATCTGATCTGGGAAGATCCTACATGCCATGGGGCATGCACCACAACTACTGAACCTGTGCTCTGGAGCCCACAAGCTACAACTAGCAAAGCCCATGTGCCCTAGATCGCATGCCTCACAAAAGAGAAGCCACTGCAATGAGAAGCCTACACGCTCCAACTAGAGAGCAGTCCCTGTTTGCCTCAACTGGAGAAAGCCCACACACAGCAACAAAGACCCAGCAGAGCCAAAACTTAATTTGAAAAGAGAGTCTGGGATTAGCATACAAACTACTATACAAAAAATAAACAAGGATCAGTGGATAACACAGGACACTATATTCAGTATCCTGCAATAACCTATAATGGAATAGACTCTGAATCTATTTACCTATATAACTTTTCTGTACATCTGAAACTAACATACTCTAATAAAATAAAAATTTATCCATATCTAAAACTCAGTGTATCTACAGTTAGAGTTAACACAACTGGGCACAAGATTTTTTTCCCCCAGAATGTTAAATAGGCTCCTAAACCAAAATCTTTTCTTCCCTACTTACTATAAAATATCTAACACAGTTTCTACAGAAACCATAGTATTGGTTGTTTTGTATCTACTTCGAGGAATCTCTCAAACTCTGGATATAATTTTCAAAATAAAAATTGAAGAGGTTTTGGTATAGATCTGTGGTTCTCAACTAGGGGTAGAAGGAGCAGCAATTTTTCTCTGTAGCACACATTTGTCAATGCCTGCAAATATCTGGCTGTCACACACGGGAGATGTTACTGGCATCAAGTAGGTAGAGGCCAGGGAGACTTGTAAACATCCCACAAGGCACAGAAAGCCCCCCCAACAAAGAATTATTAGGCCAAAATATCAATAGTGCCGGAGATTGAGAAACCTTCATAAATACCCTATTTCTTAATTCTCCCTCATCTCCCCATAGAAAATTAACTTATACAAACACTATACAAACCCAAAATATATAAAAATTACTCACTGATTATAGGTCTAGCACCATTAGTGCACCCTTCTCAAGAAACATTCAATAAATAAAATGAGTAATCAACACAAATATAATTGAGTCATTGGAAAAGACCCCGATACTAGGAAAGATTGAGGACAGGAGGAGAAGGGGGCAACAGAGGATAAGATGGTTGGATGGCATCACTGATTCAATGGACATGAGTTTGAGCAAACTCTGGGAGTTGGTGATGGACAGGGAAGCCTGGTGTGCTGCAGTCCATGGGGTCTCAATGAGACAGACATTACTTAGGGTCTAAACAACAAATTAGACTCTCATTAAGTTTGTTAAATGATTAAAGAAATTATTTATATTTATATATAAATACACTAATAAGTATACAAGAGAGATCATATATGATCCCTTAATTGAGCTGGAGTCAATTATTGAGTGCAGCTATAATTTAACCACATGCTGACGACTGCAAAACAGAGATGGAAAGAGCACAGTTCCCTCAAGACTTTACTGAGGTCTTGACACCAGATTTCTTATCAAAGAGAATGATAAATGTCTCCATTAATTAAATCATTTTGAGTTGAGTCTTCTATTACATGAAACTGAACTAACCCAACTCATTCAACAACAAGTGCTTATCAAGTGCCTACTGTGGACCAGGCATTGTACTGATACAATTATTGACATAATCCATAAAATGCCAATTACATGAGTACTTTGTGACATTTATTAGCCAAAACATGACTATGGTTTGTCATAATTCATAAAGTACTATAATACTGTGGTTTGCTCACAGGCACCCTCATAATTTTTCACACGAGCAAGCTATAACTGGAAATAAAACTCACATTTCAAAAAAGTAACCTGTAATATAACAACTGTATCCAGTTTGGGGGATGGACTGGAAGAAATAGAAAGAAAGATTAACTGAATTTTTTTCCCCAATCCATTCTCTGAGTGAAGACTGCTGCACTACATTCATAAGAACTCCCAAGCACATATAAATTCCCTTGGATACAAACAGGAATTGTAAAAACCAAGAAGTCTAAAAGTATTTCTCCTGTATTCCTAAGTAACCATTTACTCTGATTAACAATGTATATTGCAGTTAGGAATTGTAAGTCTTGCCTCTCATTGGTTGTAACCTTAAAACTCAATTTTCTTTAAAAAAAAAAAATTGAGATATAATTGATGTACAAGATTACATTAGTTTCAGATGTACAACACAGGGATTCAATATTTTCATATATTGTGAAATGTTCACAGACAATAAATCTAGTTAACATCCATCACCACACAGTTACAAAATTTTTTTCTTGTGCTGAGAACTTCTAAGGTCTACTCTCTTAACAACTTCCAAATACGCAATAGTCAACATGCTGCACATATAATTTTCTAATTATGAAACCAACAATATAAATTACTCATAGCACTAGTCTGAAGATTAAATAATATGGAGACAACCTATAAATTTTTAAGTTCAACATAGATGTGAGATCAAGCTTTACTATTTCCACTTAAATTCTACAAATCCATATTTAAATTTGAATACCCCAGTCTACATCAAAAATAAAAATAATCCATCATGCCCATAATATGCAAGCAACAGTTTTTAGCACATGATCAGATTTACTTTTTCAAAGGATCACTTAAACTCCAGTAGGTGACAAGGCTGGATAGAGAGCAACTGCTGTCCAATCCAAACACACCTATGGCTTATCTGGAGACACACAGGTTCAAGAATTCTCTAGAACAGAATCTATTAAGACTCAGCAATCTATTTGAGATGATGAAAGAGGGAAATGAAAGAGGTCTTTATTACTTGTGTTTTCAAATTTTAAAATTACGCATCTTTCTTTTTTGTATTTCCTATTAAGTCTTTCAGTGATGTTAAGATTTTAACTTTAAACTTTTCTTTCTTTTCCTAATTATATTCTTGTTGGATAAATGAAATTATCATAACAGTATATATATTGAGTATAAATTTTCTATAGATTCTCTTCACTAATTTTGTATTCTATCATGCCTAAATTCAAAATTTCCACATAATTTCTATATCCATTATTTCCACTTCCTTGTAATTTATTAATAATCACTGTTGAACTCTGCCTGCCTCCCCACCTGCCAATGCAGGCAACTTAAGAAACATGGGGTTCAATCCCTGAGTCAGGAAGATCCCCTGGAGTAGGGCATAGCAACCCACTCCAACATTTTTGCTTGGAGAATCTCACAGACATAAGAGCCTTGTGGCTATGGTCCATAGGGCTGCAAAGAGTTAGACACGACTGAAGTAACTCAGCAAGCATGCATGCACATTGAACTATGCACTTAGAGTTACAGCTCATCATGTGCTATAAAAGATCTTGCTGTTTGAAATGTTTGATGTCCTTCTTAAATGTTTAATTGAATGATAATTCAATTAGCATTTTGAAGAGGTTTTACTATTTCATTATGTGTGGTTTTACTACTTCATTATGTGTGTTCATAACATCCTCCTGAACTTTCTTCACTGCTGAAAAAAACAATCTACCTGCATCTCAAATAGAAAGTGGAGTTTCTATTTGGATGCTGAGTCTGCTACTTGTCATCAAGTTTTGTGTTTCTGGCTATAACAATGTATGGGTATAACAACATATTCTGACTAATTATATTTCTGCTCAAGCACATAAAGGAACTTATACTGCATTTAAAATCATGTATATGTGTCTCTTTTAGAATTTTTTTGTGTATTTACTTCTGCAAATATTATCATTAGTAACTTTTAATTTAAAACTCCTTTATGAGCTCTCTATTTTAGCCTCTTGGGTTTTTTAAAACAAGTATTTAAGTTTTGTATAGATGTTTCTTTTAACCTCTTACTATATACTTAAACGTTTGTAACTTCTAAAGAATTTAAAGCTCTTGCTAAAGGAGGAAGAGGATAATGGTGAAGCATGGACACTGAGGAGACAGGGCTGAAGTAAAAATTCAGAAGAGTTAATTGTCACATAAATTCATTTCAATGTATGACAAAAACCACTGCAATGATGTAAAGTAATTGGCCTCCAACTAATAAAAATAAAGGAAAAATAAATAAATAAAAATAAATAAATTAATTAAAAAATTGTCACATACAGTATAAAAATTTTGATTTTCTTATCCACTTCTTTTTTTACTCCCCACTTTGTTTTTCTTTTATTTCTTCCTCATTTTTCAGGAGAATTAACCAAATTATCAAACATAACAAGCTTCTGTTATCGTCTTCTTTAACCCACTTTTTAAACTTGTAATTTTTTAAAATTTTCACTCATTAAAAAAAGTTTTTTTTGGTCACACCACATGGCATGTGGGATCTCAGTTCCTCAACCAGCAATCAAAACTGCACCCTCTACATTGGAAGGGCGGAATCTCAACCACTGGATCACCAGAGAATTCCCATAACATTTTCACTCTTTTCAGTGTTCACCTAACTATCCTGCAGAGATCTGAAATCCAATATTAAGTCTGTGTAACTGTAAATCTTTTGTTTTCATAAAGAAAACAAAACTACCCCCAGACACAGAAAGACAAATAGTTAATTTTTTCACTTTTGTGTAGAATCTAAAATAAAGTCCAACTCATAGAAACAGAGAGTAGAATGATGGTTGCCAGAGGCCGGGAGATGATGGTCAAAAAGATACAAATTTTCAATTAAAAGATGAGTAAGCTCTGGGGATCCAGTGCACAGCATGCTGATTATTGTATACTAGAAATTTCTATTAACAGTATTGTGTATACTAGAAATGTGTACATATCATATTCTCACCACATACACACACACACACAAAAGTAACTACGTGAGGTAACAGATGTGGAACTTGATTACAGTAATCATTTCACAATGTGTACATATATCACATCATCACATTGTACACTATTAAAAAAATCATGTTGTACAACCTAAATGTATACAATTTTTGCCAATCATACCTCAATAAAAATGAAAAAAAAAAAAAAAAAGAATTTCTCTTAAACCGTGAACACCCTTTCAGTTGATGACCGCATCTGAGGCTGTGCTCCCACTAGCTTGTGTCTATTCATTTGCTCTTTCATTTTGGAAACCATGGCCTTTTTTTTTTAATATTGATATGACCATTGTAAGATCTAGAAATACTGTGACTTGTTTAAATCATATAATCAGAGAATTACAATGAGGCCCTCTGAATTAAATTTTTAAAACTCTGACTTTATTCATTTAGGACCATCTTTATTTTCTCAAATTTCTTGCTAACCTTTGCAATAATAATTCTATTTCTCACCTTTTCAGTTAAAAGAATTGCTCTAATTATTTTTTATTATTTTCCTTGTCTTTTTTCTTTCTACTTGTATTCTCATAAATAGGAAAATAATTTTATTGATGCTGCGATTAAGTTTCATCATCACCTAACTTAAGAACCTTACTTCTTCTTTCATTGCTATATTATATCCAGATGTTTTCTGTTTCTTCTATTCACCTGGTCATGGATTATAATTTACCATTTATTCTTTCTGATGTTTTTATACTTTCAGGCCTCTGTAAAACTTGAGCTTAATATTCTTCAAACTTCTTTCCAGAAAAAAAACCTGACTTTTCTCTCTACTGTGTTCCTCAGCTCTGCAGACAGTTATTTGAGGCTTCTCTGACTGAACTACCTGTCTGACTCCATTTCCTTCCTGCCTGCCATAGTAATTATTAATAATGGTCTTTACAGATGTCTTCTTTTCTCCTTTTCTTTTCTGTCAGCTCAACTTTTCTTTTCTTTTTTAAGGCGCTAAAGGAGGTTGTTTTGTTTTATTGTTTTGGTCTGGGCGTTTTTAAGTCTTTAAATCTTCCACTGGTAATTTTCTCTCCAATTATCTATTTGGAGAGCTCTCACTGCATCCTACTACTAGTTATTCTGTATTCCCTTTCACGTCTTGCTTTAGACTCAAGAGTGCTGCTTTCTGATACCTTGATTAACCTTCTCTTTTTCTAAAAACCAGATATAATTTAGGACAATGATTTGCCACCACTGGAGATACCGGAAACTACATGCAATGTGTACTGAAAGTCAACATGTTATAAATGTTATGGATATTTAACTCTAAGAGGGAATATTCTAAAGGGGAAACCACTTAAATGAATGTAATTCTGTAAAGGTTGTTAAAAAGACAGTCAGTCACTTTATTACTCAAATCTAGGAGTTACTAGTGACATTGATAATATCATCACTGAACGTTGGATGGAAGGCTTTATGGAGCAAACGAAATTTTTAATAGACATCAAAAAGTGGATTGGGAATTCCCTGGTAGTCTAGTGGTTAGGATTTGGCACTTTCACTACAGGGGCCCCAGGTTTTACCCGTGGCCCTGGTCAAGGAACTAACACCCCACAAAGCCATACCACATGGACAAAAAACAAAAGAATGAGTGGGTCAACTTTGAACAGAAAAAGAAGGGAAGAGAAAGTATTCCAAAAAGGTACATGACAACATGAGAAGATTTCAGGAAATGGAGGTTAAGAATGGAAATGGGAAGGACCTGCTCAGGAAATAAAGGTAATAGTCAGCTGAAACCACATGGTTATTCAGTGCAATGAAAAATGAAGTTGGAAAACTAGGAAGCCAAGCTGTCTGAGGATTTAACTACCAGATGAATTAAATGTGAGGGTAAAGAGATCAAAGATGAGAAAATGGAAGACCAGATAAGAGGCAATTACCATCACATGGGTAACAGTTAAGACAGTTTGGGGAAAAAAACTGGTAAATTTGGTTTCATACTACTTGAGTTGCAGCTGACAGTAGAAGATTTGAGCAGAAAAGTCCACTAGACAATCAGATATGTAAATTGGAGTTGAAAAGAGGAGAAATGGTTGGAAGTTAGCTCAGTTGGTAAAGAATCCACCTACAATGCAGGAGACCGTGGTTCGATTCCTGGATGGGGAAGATCGGCTGGAGAAGGGATAGGCTACCCACTCCAGTGTTCTTGGGCTTCCCTTGTGGCTCAGCTGGTAAAGAATCCACCAGCAATGCGGGAGACCTGGGTTTGATCCCTGGGTTGGGAAGATACCCTGGAGAAGGGAAAGGCTACCCACTCCAGTATTCTTGTCTGGAAAAGGCCATGGATTATACAGTCCAGGGGGTCGCAAAGAGTCAGACACAACTGAGTCACTTTCACAACTTTCACTTTCACTGGTTGGAAGTAACAATTGAAGAAAAAAGATAATACAGAACTAAAAGCATCTTAGGGAGTACCCACTTTTAGAGGATGAAAGAAAGAAGTGATATAAATCTCTCTGTTAAAGATGCAGAGATTTACTGACTGTTGGGGGGTAGGTGGGAGGGATTTTTTATCTCCTCTCTCCATTTCCTGACACACAGCTCAAACCCACATTGCTTATATCAACTCCAATCATTCATTACCACTATTTAACATGAGTCTTCAATGCTGTGGGAAAATACACTGCAATTTTTAAATTAACAAAATTTCTTCTACAGAATAAAATTCAATAATTATGATTACCTTCCAAACAAAGCTGGATGAAATTTCTGCATGCTTTAGGAGCTTCTTTTGACCACAACTCTATATCAATATCTCCAGCTGTAGTTTTCAATAAAACCTGTAGAAAGCATATAAAAATCATTGTTATCATTTTGCTTCATGATGAGCTCACTGGCTATTCAACATAAAGTATTCACTACTGAATTTTCAATTTTAAAACAAAAATGAGAAACTTTGCATGGTTTCTGTTGTTATACTCAAAAACTTCAAATAGTCAGTACAAGTTACTCTATTTCTATCTTTTAAATACTATTTTCAGAAATAATTTATGCTTTAAGGAAAAAATAGCACAAATATTTTTTAATCACAGAAAAACCTGCATTCATTTAAAAATCAATACTGTAAACTTGCTTTAATTTTAAAAGTTTTCCACATCATTTCTTCCAATAAAATTGGTATAGCAAATTAAGACATTAAAGAACAATGAACTTTCAGTTTCTGCTTCAGAAGCCCAAATTACACTGCCATAATTTATATAATATTGATGAATGCACTGTATCTTTTTGGGCTTTTACCGGCTACACAGTTCTCTTATATAAAATTATGCACCTGGCGGTGGAGGAGGTGACAATATCTATACTGTGGTAGATTTTAAAATGGTTTCCTTAACCCTGAAAGAAATACAAAAGAACCAAAAGTATTAATGTGCAGGATTTTCTCAATCCTTTACACTTTCTCTACAAAAAGAAGGGGACATTTGTTGAGTGCCTCCTATGTGCCAAGGCTATCTAATGCAAAGCCCATGCTGCTTCTATCTCACCATACTGCCTCCACAAACTTCTCCATAAATTCCACACTATACTGGAAAAACAAAGTCCATCAAACTCTAGGGCACCATCACATGTTGCAAAATAAATCTCCAAGTTACCCTGGTCACAAATGATTTGAGTAGAAAACAGTGTCTAAGTCGAAAGCACTCATATATTGCTTTGCATATGAGCATATTCAGGCATACCTCTGAGACATCACAGGTTTGGTTTCACACCACTACAACAAAGTGAATATTGCAAAAAAGTGAGTCACATAAAGTTTTTGGTTTCTCAGTGCATACAGAAGTTATGTTTACCCTAGACTGTATGCAACAGCATTATGTCTGAAAAGACAAAGTGCAAACCTTAATTTTAAAATACTTTATTACTAAAAACTGCCAATCTNAAAACAAGGAACAGAGCGGCCAGGAGGTTGGTAGATGGAGAAATAATTGTTGGTTGATGAAGAAATCTCCACTTGAGGACTTTTTCAATTATGTGCTGAGAAGTGCCAGCATATGGTTTTCAATGCAATCCTGCTCAGAGACATAGGTAAAGTTTTTGCAATCTCTTTCACCCCTACAACCCCAGAATTCCTTTAATCAATGAGATATCACTTTGGGGAGCCCAGGTACCCTAGGTGAGACTCACCTTCCCGTTCGTGGGAGGCTCCTGGATGTAAATGTTACTCATTCCGGTCAGTGCTCAGGATTCCGATCCTAAATAGGGATGAGAGCGAACCGCCGGTAACTAGAGCTGCCCACCTATCGGTACACGCTTCCTTAAATTGGGAAGTCGTGGAAAGCTCCAGCCGGTCAATACCCGCTAGACAGTGGCACCACAACAAACACCCTCTTCCCAAAGCTAGGTCCTCACGGACGCCGCCATGTTCCTCCCGGACCCGAGCACCGCTAATCCTGAAAAGGGGGATTCCAATGGTGTCCAGGGAATTGAGAAGAGACTATTAATCTTCTGTAGATTAAGTCAACTTGTATTCCAATTTTTAAACCAACAGTTCGTAAGTCTTGATGTTGTTTACTTCACTACACGCCTGGGCAGGTCTCCACCCCCTCGTAGCTGGCAGTAATGGTTCGCGCTGTGTCTGGTGTACAATACGATTCCCCCGGAAACTGCATCAGCAGCCACTTGGTTCCGCGATCTCCAGGGGCTTTTAGGGCCTTCGCCTCCTGTCACCCGGGTGCCGCGGCGCGGGTGGGAGACAGACGGCCCCCTGGCTGGGTGTTGTCCTCGCGGCCAGCGGGAAGCGAGCGATCCCTCAGAAGCCTAGGGGTTCTGCGACCCCTCTTACCAACGCCATGGCAATTCCAGGTAAAGACCAACCTCAGGGGTTTGGGCGAGGGAGGGAGTAGGTAGGGCAGGTTAGTGTGCGCCGGGTAAGGAGTAGCGCCCAAGGGTGGAGGCGTTAAAATGATCAGGTTCGTTTGGTTTACAACAAAACTTTTACAGTCCAAAAATAAACTCTAAAGGAAAGAAAAGAAGAAAGAAACTATCTCCCCCCGCAGCAGCCCAGCTCCCACTGCCAAAAACGGACTTACCGGGAAAGTATATATAGGGCTGCGTGGAGGAGGGGGTGTTTGAGACAGACTCCTATCTGCAGGCCTAGGAGGCAGCTGGCCCAGAAAAACTAACCTCAACTTTAGTATGGTTTGAAAATAAAATTTGAGGTGGCAACACTTGGCGGACCCAAGAAGCCGAAGGCATTGTTTGCACTGGAAGTGTCAGGGATGAAATGAGCCTCTGGGGTTCCATTCTCTCTCTTCCTGTTACATGTAGTAGCTGTGTGGTCCTGAACCCGTCTTTTTGCCCTTCTGGGCCTCAGTTTCTGCAACTGTTTTTAAAAAAAAAAAAAAGGAGATGTGTTGATTTATACCTGTGGTTCCTTCCAGTTCTCCTTGCAGGAGCTATTTTGAGAAATATACACCACCACCCCCACTCCCACCCTTCCCCCTACTCAAACATGCAACTTGGCGATTCACAGTACTTATTAAAGACAGAATTGCTGTGGTTCAGAAGCCCTAACTTTGTTTTAACCTGCCCTCGCCAGTATTATTGACCACATTTGTTCTGTGGCAGCCTTTGCTGAACTGTACTTTGCACATAGCTGTTGCGTATGGGAAGGTTGGACTGTTCTACAAACTGCGGTTTGGGAGGATCACACAGGGCACTGTCAGTTCCATCATGTCCGACTCTTTGCAACCCCGTGAACTGCAGCATGCAGGCTTTCCCGTCCATCACCAACTCTGGGAACTTGCTCAAACTCATGTCCATTGAGTTGGTGATGCCATCCAACTATCTTATCCTCTGTCGTCCCCTTCTCCCGCCTTCAGTCTTTCCCAGCATCAGGGTCTTTTCCAGTGTCAGTCAGTTCTTCGCATCAGGTGCTCAGAGTATTGGAGCTTCAGCATCAGCTTCATTCCTTCCAATGAATATTCAGGATTGATTTCTTTTAGGATTGACTAGTTTGCTCTCCTTGCAGTCCAAGGGACTGTGAGTCTTCTCCAACACCAAAGTTCAAAAGCATCAATTTTTCGGTGCTCAGCTTTCTTTATAGCCAAACTCTTACATCCACACATGACTACTGAAAAAACCATAGCTTTGACTAGACAGATCTTTGTTGGCAAAGTAATGTCTTTGCTTTTTAATACGCTGTCTAGGTTGGTCATAGCTTTTCTTCCAAGGAGCAAGCGTCTTTTAACTTCATGGCTGCAGTCACCATCTGCAGTGATTTTGGAGCCCAAGAAAAGAAAGTCTGTCACTGTTTTCATTGTTTCCCTGTCAACTTGCCAGGAAGTGATGGGACCAGATACCGTGATCTTCTTTTTTTCAATGTTGAATTTTAAGCCAGCTTTTTCACTCTCCTCTTTCACCATCATCAAGAGGTTGTTTAGTTCTTCGCTTTCTGCCATAAGGGTGGTGTCATCTGCATATCTGAGATTATTGATATTTCTCCTGGCAGTCTTGATTCCAGCTTGCATTTCATCTAGCCCAGCATTTTGCATAATGTACTCTGCACGTAAGTTAAATAAGCAGGGTGACAATATACAGCCTTGACGTACTCCTTTCCCCATTTTGAACAAGTCTGTTCCATGTCTGGTTCTAAGTGTTGCTTGACCTGCGTACAGGTTTCTCAGAAGGCAAATAAGGTGGTCTCATATTCCCATCTCTTAAAGAATTTTCCACAGTTTATTGTGATCCACACAGTCAAAGGCTTTAGCATAGTCAATAAAGCAGAAGTAGATATTTTTCTGGAACTCTCTTGCTTTTTCTATGATCCAGTGGATGTTGGCAATCTGATCTCTGGTTCCTCTGCCTTTTCTAAATCCAGCTTGACCATCTGGAATTTCTCAGTTCACGCACATTGAACCCTGGCTTGGAGAATTTTGAGCATTACTTTGCTAGCGTGTGAGACCAGTGCAATTGTGTGGTATTTTGAACATTCTTTGGCATTGCCTTTTTTGGGGATTGGAATGAAAACTGACCTTTTCCAGTCCCATGGCCACTGCTGAACTTTCTAAATTTGCTGGCATATTGAGCGCAACACTTTAACAGCGTCATTTTTAAGGATTTGAAATAGCTCAACTGGAATTCTAACACCTCCACTAGCTTTGTTTGTAGTGATGCTTCATAAGGCCCACTTGACTTTGCATTCCAGGATGTCTGGCTCTAAGTGAATGATCTCACCATCATGGTTATCTGGGTCATTGAGATCTTATAGGAGATGAAAGATACACTTATTCATAGACCTGGCAATTTTCATTAAAGGCATATTGCATGCTAGGCTCTGTGCTAGGCCCCAGGAATACAGTTGCTCTTCTCACAGGACTTGCAGTTTAGCAGTGAAGAGAAAGTACTAGAAAGTCAGACAGGTGTATGACGGGGAAAATACACAGCCTTGAGGAGCACATAGAAAGGGCATCTGATAGGAGACTGGAGAGTTCAGAAGGACATTCCAGAGGATGTGGCATTTAGGGTGAGACCTGAAGAATTGTGGGAGGGGGAGTTATAGACGGAGGGACCAGATATGCAAAGGAAGAGGAAATGTGTGTGAAGACGAAAGGAAATATGTGCCCTTTGGATGAACTCCGAGTACAGAGAGAACTGAGAAATTAACTAGAGACAGAACAGCAGTAGCTATTATTTACTAAACATTTGCTGAATGTCAGATGTGTCAGACGCTGTCTCAAGCACTGTATTTTTCTCTTATTTAACATTGGCACCCACACTGTGAGATAGGTATTAAAATGTCCATTCTGCAGTTCAGAATGCTGAGGGACAGAGAAGTCAAGTGAGTAAATTGAGACAGCTAGGAAGTGACGGGTCAGTGCGGTTCCTCTGGACCCTGTGTGCTTATCCATTTTGCCATGTTTTAGTATAATTACAAGGCAATTTCCCATTCATAGAGGACATTTTAAGCCATGAGAAGGAGTTTGGATGTTTCCATCAGGACCACAGGAAGAGATTTAAGGATTTTTAAACGTACTCACGTTTGGAAAGCGCATTATGGCTGCACAGTAGATTGGAGGAGAGCTAGTTTGGAGGCAGAGTAACTGGTAAGTTATGATGGCTCACCAGATGGTCTCAGTAAAAAAGGAGAGAAGTAGATAGATTGGAGATACATTTCTGGTGGTAAAATCACTGATTGATTCATGGTAGGTGAGTAAGATTGGAAATGAGGTACACCTGGGTTTCACTGCTAGGCAGTTGGGTGGGACTATTTCAGGCAACACCTGAGAAGAAGCAGTTTTTGGAGAGATGATGTGTTCAGTTGGGTCTTGTGTTGAGGTGTAGTCATGGAATGTAAATATCTAATAGACACTAAGAGAGAAAATCTGTAGCTTGGGAAGGAAAACAGAATCAAAGAACAATTTGGTGTCATCCACACACTTGTAATAGGCCAGGGGAATGGAAGTCTTTGCCCAGGTGGAATGTGTAGAGTGTGAAGGGAAGGTCTGTGACTGGAACTCAGAGAATATCAGTTCTCCAATAAGGGGCCAGTGGAGAAAGTCCAGTCTTCACAGTAGATTGCCTCGGCATCCTGATAAGCTGAGTCAGCCCTGGTGGCCTTTGCCCCACACAGCTGCATCCTGAGTTGACCTGCTGCCACTGTTGGGTTCATTATTTGAGCATGTGTTTTGAGCACCACCGTGGTATAGGCACAGTGGGGGACACAGTATCACAGCCTGTGTCCTCAGAAAACTTAGGTCAAGTAATGAAATGTGATGCATTGCTTAAGAAAAAGGACAAAAGTGATTTTTTAAGAAAAAATCCTTATTGAAGTTCCCTTAGACTTAGACCAGAGTTATAGATATGTTAACCTTCTTTCAATTCAAAATAATGCTTCAAAGTGTAATCATCTTAAATTGTGCCATTAAGTTAGATGGTAAGACATAGATAAACTGCTTAAACCCAGGAAAAAATTGAAATAATAAGCATGACAGCACTGTAAAAGCACAGTAGAAAATGTGAAGGTAATTTCTTGGATGATTGATCCAGATAGTGTATTACACGAAAATAGGGCTACAACGATTCTGATCATCAAAAAGGACAAGAATGCTCTTTTATTTTTAGGTATAATGCTCATACAGATGTTGTTGTTCAGTCGCTCAGTCATGTCTGACTCTTTGCGACCCCATGGACTGCAGCACACCAGATTTCCCTGTCCTTCACTGTCTCCTGGAGTTTGCTCAGATTCGTGTCCATTGAGTCAGTGATGCTGTCAAACCATCTCATCCTCTGCTGCCCCCTTCTACAGCATGGCGTTTTTTGGGTGGTCCTGCTAGTGATTATTACAAAGCATGACTATCAAGTATCAAGGTTAGTTTCCACAGATGATAATCAGCCTCACCTATTTTATGGTCACCTGCTTTAGCTGCTTTTCCACAGCAGTGTGCGTAACCATTGTGTAGGTAAACACAGTGAAATGTATACCTTGTTACTTAGTGAAATTATGGACTCGGAGTTGTTATTAAGGAAAGGACATTTTTACACGCTGAAACTCAGTGAAGTTGTGGCTTAGTCGCTAAATCGGGTCCGACTCTTGTGACCCCAGGTTCCTCTGTGTGTGGGATTTTCCAGGCAAGAATACTGCAGTGGCCTGCCATTTCCTTCTCCAGGGGATCTTCCCATCCCAGGGATTGAACCCGCGTCTCCCGCTCTGCACGCAGCTTCTTTACCGCTGAGCCACCAGGGGAGCCCCTCAGTGAAGTTTTCTTTCTTTTGAAACTGCTTTTATCATTCACATTCTTACATTCATGTTAATAATTAACCATTCCCGGTGAAGAGTTACCTGGCACAAGTGGCAATGTATGTTATTGACGTAGGTGGCAGGAAAACTTTTCTACAACTTGAAGAATCATATGTACATAAAAAATTCGAGTATTTCCATCACCTCAGGAAGTTTCCTTGTATCTCAGTCATTTCCCCCTACCCAGCAGTCATTGTTTTGTTTTCTTTTGTCCTTTAATTCCTTTTCTTCTAGAGACTATCATGTTTCAGATAGACTAATGACAATAGTTTCATAGCTGGCAATTGGGAGCTGTAGAAATTACTGATTCCCAACTGTTGAAGTATTTTCTTAAGTTTATAACCTCAAAGCAACAAAAATTTGTTGAGAAGCTCCTAGCCACTCTACACCATACTAGGCACTAAGCTGTATACAAAATGTAGCATGGCCCAAATCTGGAGAATCTGGCATTTTTTGCTCCTGTAAGTTCCCTGGGAGGGGAAGGACTCCTACCACTCAACCTCAGCAGAATTCTAGATTCAGAGGAAGCCTCTGTTAACATATAGTAATGCAAGATGTAAAGACTTCTACAATTTGCTCCTAAAATCTTCAGTTAATGAAATTTTATTGAAAATCTGCAATGTAGCTTCTCTGAAGAATTTACAAGTGCAGTCATTGCCTTTTGTCTACAAATACTCGCATGATAGCAACCCTTCTTAGTGTTGGGTTTGGTTTGTTTGAGGGAGGTTTCTTGGTTTGGTTTTTGAGGAAGCTCAACTCATTCACATGTTTTAAATTTTAGAGATATAAAAGGTCTGTAGTGACATGTCTCTCACCCTTTCCCCCCTGAAGCCAGGACTGCTTTCTTTGGGTAACCAATGTATATCCTTGCAGAGATTTTTTTTTTACGTGTCTGTATCTATTAATGTAATGTATATAAAATGTATATTATGTATAACTGTGCAGGGGTTTTCCTTCCTTTTATACAAATAGCAATGTACCATAAGCACTATTCTATAGTTTAGTTTTTTCTTTCAGAGATCATTGCATATCATTAAGTAAACATCATCCTTATTCTTTTATACCATAATTGATGACTACATTACTTCCACTCTTTTACTATTACAAATATGCTGCAGTGAATAACTTTGTACATAAACCTGTATGCATTTGTGCAGGTAAATTGAGGATTAGTTCCCAAATGTGGATGTGCTGTATCAAAGGAGTGTGTACTTGAGTGCTTCTGATAGATTTTGTCTGCTTACTTTCCATAGAGATGGTACTGGTTTATACTTCTACCAGGGATACACATATGTATATGCCCTGCCACGCTGTCTTCAACCTTTTCAATTTCTGCTGTCCAGATAAGTGAAAATGGAATCCCAGGATATACTTTAATGTACATTTCATTTATCATGAATAAGGCTGAGCATCTGTCCATATGTTTCAGAGTTGTCTTTATTTCCTTTTCAGTGAATGTCGTGTTCCATTTCTTTGCCCCATTTTTTCCCTAGTGGCAATTGGTCTTAATGATTTGGTGGGTTTTATAGAGTAGGGATAACTGCCCTTTGTTGGTACTAGGAATTGCAAATATTTTTTCCTATTTTTTTAATGTGTATTTTGAGTTTGCTTTTGGTAGTCTTTGCCATTCAGATTTTGTTATGTAGCCAGATTTCTGAGTTTTTATTTGATGGCTTTTGGATTATAGGTTATGATTATTTAATGGCTTTTGGATTGTAGGTCATGATTATTTAATGGCTTTTGGATTGTAGAAACATTTTGAGGGAGGCAGGTTTATTATTCTCAAAATTTGAAGAGGAGTGGAACAGAGAACAGCATGGGAACCTAAGTGGGGAAATGGAAAACTTGTCAGAGTCGGGGCCTCCCTTACAATCCTGCTGTTCATTTTGACACAGATCTCAAGTACTGGTGTATCAACAGAGTTCTTGTTCCAGACAGCAGAAACTGACTTGTTAATTTAGGCAGGAAAGGGAAGATAGGTTCCAGGTAGAAGGTTCAAGAAAGATAGGTTCCAGGAAGATAGGTTCAAGGTTCCAGGTAGGAAGAAGCATTTAGTTGGCCAGATAGTCATGAAAATTATAGAGAGATGAAGCTTGAAATCTTAATTTAACCAAAGGGTGATGAGGAAATAGCTGATGTGAAATTATTTAGAGTTCTTATTATACTTCCCTTTCGTGTAAGAATTACAACCTTATTAAAGAAGATGAACTGCTCTGAAAAATTTTCATATTTTATTCATTCTAAAAATATGAGATACTCTAATGATGAGTTTTATCAATGTCTTTCATCAAAGATGAGTTAATTTCTAATACGTGCTGAAATGAGATGATTTCAGATCTGTCCATTACAGCGTCTTGAGTTTGCTGTAAGAAAGATAACAGGGCATTTAGCACAGTTTTGTTCAGTGTTATTCAGTGTCTATGGTTTCTATGGAAACAAACTTGACATTGACCTGGATTCTCTGAGACTTTTTTTCAATATGCAGTTATTTCATAACAAAGAGCCTGATTTTATTATTAACGCAATTTCATTTCACAATTCTGCTACAGTGCAGCATATGTGTTTTTACACTCTGCAATAAAACCCACAGGTTTCAGGGGAGAAAAATAGGTTGGGGCACCACACTCAAAAATTTCATCACTGTTAGATAAAAAAATCATAGGAACCTATCTGCACATGTTAATTGGCTAAGAAATACATAAATACTGAAATAGGTAGGGCATTATACCTTCTAAAAGACCTGAAGTTTGCTGTGGAAGTGGAATTCAGAAGAGTTGCAGCTTGTAAGTTGTTCTAAAGTAATAGCAGGAAGGTGATAATACAAAACCAGATAGGTATGGATGCTGCTCTCAGTACACATGGGGTGAACTGAGGTCACTAGAAATGTTTTGAGATGTGCCCATGTGTGTTTTAATGCTCCAATCAATTGGATGCAGTTTTTTGTATTCACCTAGTCTATTCCATGGACACATTGTACTCAAAGTGTTCCCTCTTAGATGCATTGGAACAAATTTATGTCTTTAAAATCGAGCATTGTAGCAGAACTGACTGTATTTTTACTAGAACAACTCAGTAATGTATATTTTAGCTGGAAATTAATATTTGACTTTATAATACCAAAATGGTTTGAAAAAGATCTTTTTTAAAAAAATTAGGTATATTATATTGCACTATGTACCGTATTAAATTGGGAAATCTCCATTTGAAGGATTTGGAAGTGAAACACCCTTCATTAAGTAAATAGAGTAATACTGTACTGGCCCTTTGATTGATTGATGGGAGCCCTTACTGGAGGTTAAAATCAGTTTCAAGTATATATACACACACAGTGGAATATTATTCAATCATGAAAAGGGATGCTATTCTGTTTTGTGCTACACTATGGATGAACCATGAAACCTTAATTCTAGGTACAATAAGCCAAGTGCAAAAGGATAAATGTTGTATGATTCCACTTATATAAGAGACCTAAAATAGGCAAATGCATAGAGACAGACAGCAGAACAGAGATTACCAGGGGCTAAAGATAGAGGGGGATGGACTGTATTATTTATTGGTTACAGTTACTGTTGAAGATGATACGAATGAAGTTTTGGAAATCATGTAGTGGTGATGGTTGCATAACATTGTGAATGTACTTAACACCACTGAATTGTACACTTTGACATGGTTAAGATGATAAATTTTTATATGTATTTTATCACAATAAAAATCAATGTTATTTCATCTGTTATTTGTATCTTCAACATTACTTGTAGGTACCACTAATTATACAGAGATACTGTAAATACTTATAAACATGGTCAGACTGAGTCTGTGACTAGTTTCCTTTCTCTTGTCAAAATTTGAGTGCTGATTTGAGATGTTCCTTCTAATACCTAGCAATTAAAGTATCTTTCTAAAATTTCACCAATTCCTTTAAGAAAGTTAGAATTTCTTTTTCTTTTAAGGGTCAACAGAAGAACATTTGTTAACCTATCTATCTAGTCAATTGCTTTAATTTGAGGGATAGGCCAAAGTACCCTGGAATTTCTTCTGCGGTGTTAGAGAATCCATGAAATGTTGAAACTCTTAACTATCGTATTGCATTTCTCTTGTGTTAGAGAAAAATATCTTCTGTAAGTATTTGTCAAGGAAATAATTTGAATGAATTAGCTTTTCCAGTGATTTCTAATAATTATAATAATTGAGTAGTACTCTAAGCTAGGTCATGGGGGATTTGGTTTTTTTAAGAAATAAATTCTATCACAAGTGGTTTTCTCAGCTTTTCCATGTGATGAAATGTTTGTTTTTACTTATCTATATGTCTTCTAAAATGTTATCTAATTGTATTTCAGGTTGCAACAAGGACAGTGTCCGAGCAGGCTGTAAAAAATGTGGCTATCGTAAGTACATTAAAGAATAGCATTTTGTGCAATGAATCATTGCCTCTTTGGACAATGTGATTTAGCATCCTGATTTCAGGCCTTGGGCATAGTCCTTTAGTTCTGTTATTTGGCTCGGGTTTGCAGAAAATTCAGAAATCCCTCTGTCAGCACTAAATACTCACTTCTCTTCCCTGCCGTGGGCCCAGTGACAGGTGGCTGTGTATCTGGTGACTAGCAAAGATGTCATGAAGTACAAGTGGAGCAAATGTAGGAGCTTGGAGAAAGTCTACTCCAGAAAAAACTATATAGATACTTAACCTTTTATTCCTTATCCCTGCAGATACTAGGTGAAGAGGTGAGCTGTGGAAACTGTTTATGAAAGGTTTTCCTGTTGATTGAATTAACTCTTTATAAAGGTGAATTTGGTCTGGTGAAACCTTGATTTAAACAGCTCCATTATGATTAATGAAATGGAATGGAAAAGTAAACTTCAGCATGTGCAATTATGCAATTTAAATTTGTACTTATGGACTGTAAGCAAATATCATTTCTCTACAAAAATGTGACAATTCCTAAAGCCTTGATAACAGCTCTAACAGTGGAATTACACTGTTTTCTAAGTTGTTTGGAGAAAATGCAAATGAACCTGGATTGTTGTTGATACTCTAGTTCATAGCAGAGTTATTTTGTAACAGAATAAAGATGTTCTTGTATGGAAAAAAATTTATTTTTTAAATCATGTATTAAGAGAGTACTTGGGGTATGAATCTCCAAGAGAAGGGCTAAGAATAAAAGCATGCTGGGAGATCCAAGTCACATGCCTCCAAGCAACAACTGAAACCTGGCTCAGTTGAAGCTTCCTAACTAGCAAAAGTGGGCATGTAAGTATACATATCCTTCATGTAAATAAAAACTCCTGATGAATGTGCTCGCATGCAAGAAAGGAGTACAATGAAGTCTTTTCTGTTTTTTAAATTTGCTTATATTTATTTATACTTTATGTCTTTCAATCCTTGTTAATTTCATTTCTTTATTTAAGATTTAAGTTTAGGAGTGCCCACAGTGAAAAGTTGTGGTATAAGGAGTAAGCCCACAGTGAAAAGCAGAGAAGACATACCTAAGTGAGGCTAGTGGTTATGGGGAGAGGGTGGAAGGGTCTGCACGTGGTTTGTGGGGGAAGGGCACACAGAGAATTAGTCAAGGTTCTGGTAACAGTCTGTTCCCTCACGTGAGAGATGCAGCTATTTACTTTATTGATTCTCTTTCAACTGTAAGTATTCATTTTATATACTTTTCTCTAGTCTTCTCTATGTGTGATGCACTTAATGATAAAGCTTGTTTGAATTTTTACATTAAAAAAGACTTAAGGAAGTTCTATATATATAAACGCTATATTCACTTCAAAATCTAGAATGGATTTCCCAGTTTGTCTACTAATATCAGTTTGTCTACTTGGACTTCTTTCAAGTTAAGACTTGGAGGAAAGCTTAAAGTAAAGAGCTAGTCTGGGCCAGGTTCCGGCAGCTCTCGTGGATGGGGGTGTCGTACAGCCGCAGAGGGCCGAGCGGGAGCATGTGTTAGTCGCTCAGTCGTGTCCGACTCTGCGACCCCGTGGACTGTAGCCCGCCCGGGCTCCTCTGTCCATGGAATTCTCCAGGCAAGATTACAGGAGTGGGGGTAGCCATTATCTTCTCCAGGAGATCTTCCCGACCTAGGAATCGAACCTGAGTCTCCCACATGGCAGGCAGATTCTGTGTCATCTGAGCCAGCAGGGAAGCCCAAAGGGGAGCCTAGGGGACTGCTCCTTGGAAGCGGTGATAAGAAGCGGGGGGCATGCTAATAATACTGAGGTAGGCTGTAGAGAGGCATCTTCAGGGAAGAGGCATCTTCAGGGAAGAGCCAGCTATCCCTTTAAAAAGTGGTAGAGGGAGCTTTCTGAGCACAGCTTGTCCAGAAGGGATTGCGGGTTTCAGCAGCTGTCACAAAACGATCGGGAGATACAGGGATGATGGTTAGTTAAGTCAGAGGAACAGAAAGAGCAATGCATGGATGAGACTTCAGGGAAGTTACATGAATACAGATGCCTATACTTTTGGGTAGGAATAGAAATGATAGGGATGTGAAGTTTGGGGGGATTAACTGGGTTTAAGACTTCAGAAGTTTATAATGTAGCTCTTATGTTCTTAAAACTCAGGACCTAAGATAGAGACAGAGCTTGGTTAAATTCATTGCATTTCATTGCTAAAACAACCCTGTGAGGTAGGTAGATTTCCTAGTCCCAAGAGGTGGCTAGGTGGTAAAGACTCTGCCTGCAGTGCAGGGATACAAGTTATATGCCCAGGTCGGGAAGATCACCTTGAGAAGGAAATGGCAACCCACTCCAGTATTCTTGCCTGGAACATCCCATGGACAGAGGAGCCAGGCAGGTCATAGTCCATGGGGTCACAAAGAGTCAGAGATAACTTAGCAATTGAGCACACACACGTTTTTAGGAATATTCAGAACCATTGGTCTGCCACCGATGTATAACTTTTACACAGCGGGCAATAGCTAGCTGTGTGACTTTGGGCAAGTTACTTAACTACCCTGTGATTCAGTTTCCTGTCTGTAAAATGAGATTATAGTACTTATTTCCATAGACTTGTTGTAAAGATTAAATTAGCTAATGCAAGTTCTAGATCTGTGCCTTGCCATAGTTATTCTTCAAAAATCAAGAGGATTACTCTGTTGTTAAGTAGGAAAACTGGGAATTGAATTCTGGTTATTTGTAAAACTTTATACTATGCCGTGGTATTTTTTTCCTCATTCAGAAAAATTGTGGTAAAATACATATAACATAATTTGCCATTTTAACTTCTTTTAAGTATACAATTCAGTGCGTTAATTACGTTCCCAGTATTGTACAACCATCACTCTCAGTTACAAAGCTTTTTCATCATACCAAACAGAAACTCTATAAACATTAAGCACTAACTCCCCACTCCTCCCTTCTTCCAGACTCTGGTAACCTCTAATCTACTTTCTATTTCTGTGAATTTGGTCATTCTATATATTTCATGTAAGTGGAATCATATATTTGTCCTTTTGTGTCTGACTTATTTCACTTAGCTTAATGTATTCAAAGTTCGTTCATGTTGTAGCACATATCATAACTTCATTCTTCCTTATGACTGAATGATATTTCATTGTCTAGATATACCACATTTTCTTAATTCATTTATCGGTTGGTAGACACTTGGGTTATTTTTACCTTTTGGCTATTGTGAATAATGAGCAATGAGTATTAATGTGTACACATCTGTCTGAGTCCCTGTTTTCAGTTCATTGGGGTATATAACTAGGAGTGGAACACTGGGTCATATACGTTGAGCTTGAGGAGTTGCCAGTTTTCCACAGCAGCTCCATTATTTTATATTCCCACCAGAAATATATCAATATAAGAGTTCCAGTTTCTCCACATTCTTGCCAATATTTATTTTCCTTTTTCCTATTTTTTTTTGAATTGTAGCCATCTCAGTAGATGTGGTAGCTTATGATTTTCATTTGCGTTTCTCGAATGACTAGTTATGTTGTACATCTTTTCATAGTCTTATTGGCCATTTGTATATCTTCTTTGGAGAAATGTCTATTCAGTTTCTTAGCCCTTTTTTTATCTGAGTTGTCTTTTTGTTCTTGAGTTGTGGAAATTGTATATATACTAAATGCTAAACCCTATCAAATATATAATTTGCAAATCTTCTCTTCCATTCTGTAGGTTGTCTTTTCACTTTCATAATTTCTTTGCACAAATGTTTTAAATTTTGATGAAATTCAACTTACCAGTTTTATCTTTTGTTGTTTTGCTGTTAGTGTTTTACATGTAAGAATCCATTGCCAAATCCAAGTTAAAGAAGACTTACCCCGTGCTTTCTTCTAAGACTTTTATGCTTTTAGCTCTTATATTGTAATGGTCTTCGATCCATTTTGAGTCAGTTTTTGCGTATGATGTGAGGTGAGGAATTAAACTTCATTAATTTGCATGTGGAAATCCTGTTCTCCTAGCACTGTCTGTTGAAGAGACTGTTCTTTCCCCATTGAATAGACTTAACAAATTTGTCAAAAAGCAATTGGCTATATACATGTGGGTTTACTTCTGGACTATTTCACTGGTTTATGTGACTCTCCTTATGACTATGTCACCCTGTTTGATTCCTGTAGCTTTGTGCTAAGTTTTGAAATCAGGAAATAGGAGTCTTCCACCTCTATTCTTTTTTGGCTCTTCAGGGCCTCTTGTATTTTTGTATAAATTTAGGAGTCTGTTTTTCTGTTACTCAATAAGCCCCATTACTTTTTGCAATCAGCTACTGAAATGTTATAACTTTGAAATGTCTGTACATATCTGTGGTCAAAATTTAAGTTTCTGATCATCTCAGAATTTTTCTGCTCATGAGAGTCTATTTAGAAAAGAACTTACAAGAACAATATTTTGGTGTAATTTCATAAGTTTGCTCACTTATGTTCCCCAATTGAAAAAAAGAGAACATTTTTTTTGTAGCTTCATAAGCAATGTGTCTTATTATCAGTTTAGGGTCAGTTTCATTAAAGGAAGGCTAAAAAGGATGTGAGACGAAGACTGCTGCCAGTGTGGTTATTATTTAAGTAGTTTATTTATATTAAATAATAATGACAGTAGAAGGTGTTTGGATACCAAGCTAGTTTAAGTAAAAGAAAAATTGTATCATCAGAAATTCTGATCAAAATGGCAAGCTAAACCAACATAGAAAGTCCTCTGTTTGGCTTCAAACACAGAGAGATACCGGAGGAAAATATAGTAACAACAAAAATAAAAGTAACCTAGCTCAAAAGAATAAAAGGGAAATTGCCACATGTTAGAAAGGAAAAGGAGCTCAAAGCGAGAGTAGGGAATGATAGCTGAAAACAGTGAGGTTCACTGGCCTCCTGGGTAGACTTTTATGGAATACGGAATGAAGCTTTAGACCCCTGCCGGATCACAGCATGGCTGGAGTGGAGGCTCTTGGTTAAAGCCAGACTGCTCAAAAAAGCAGTGAAGCAGGAATTACAGAAGTTTCATTTACTGTCTAGGGGAAGTGATGAGAAAGTTTACTGTGTTTCGGTTCAGTTCAGTTCAGTCGTTCAGTCGTGTCCGACTCCTTGCAACCCCATTAATTGAACTTCCTGTAAAACAATAATTAGAGGAAAAGGAATAATTCAGAATTGACAGCCCAAGCTTACACCACTTGTAGGTATGAGGAGTGAATTTACACTGCCTCCAATGAGGCAGAAACTAGTTTACCAAGCTAAGAAATTAATATGAAAAGTTAGTCTGTTATCAAATTAACTTAAAAAAGTAAGTCCAGCTACATGCCATTATTAGTGAAACTACTTAGAAAACTGAAAACTACATAGAAAATTTCAAAGTAAAGGAATGGAGGAAAAAGAGCAGATAGATATTAGGTTGAATATTGTTGATATTCAGCAGTTTTACTCATGAAAATGGTAATTTCATATGATTCAACTAATAATAACCAAAAGAGCAACTAGTAAACCAATTATAATATTAGACTTTTGAGGCAAGAGCAGTTCTAATCAACTAAGAAGATAATGATTCTGACTATACCTATTAATATAATCTCAAAATACGTATAGCAAAAACTCTTACAAGGAAAAATGGACAAATATATAGTGATAAAGGTACTTAAAAATTATACTATCAGAAATTATTACACAAAAATGTAAGATGGAGGTTTGAACAATAAAATAAACAGAAAAGCTTCTCTTCCACAAATTGTGATGTATTCTTCTAAACTACATTCCAAGTTTTTCCCCAAATTTACTACAAGATAGGCCATAAAAGAAATCTTAGCAAATACTAAAACACTGATACCATACAAACACTCAAACACTGATTTACCATACAGATACTCACTGATAACAGTGTAACACACTTAGAAATCAGCAAAAGCATAATCTGAAAGCTCCGTATGTTTGGAAACTGAAAAGAACATTTCTGAATGATTCATTTGGAAGGAAATCACAACCAAGAAAATTTGTTTCCAGTAGTATGGCAGGCTGGACCCTTCTATAAACAACTAAGAAACTAGTATAAAATATGCAATGATATATTAGTATGCTAGGAGAAAATACAGAATTCATGAATACTTAGAGACTAGCAACCAAAGGAGAGCAGAAAGTCTAGGAGGTGTTGAGGGTATTTGCTGAACCCAGGGTTCTTGAACTTCTATTTTCGTGTATTGACTGAGTTCAGGAAATAAGGCAAGTCTCAGGACCTGGCCCAAGATTGGTACTTTCCTAGGAGATGCTCTCATATGAGTCTAGGACTTCGAAAGATTTTATCCTTGAGTAAGAGAGAACTAGGAATAAATCCTAGAACAGAGTTGTAGTGAATCAATAGTGGGTTGTGAAATAAATTATGTGGTTTCTATCAGCATTCATATTTTTTAATATAAAATGTCATAATGCTTCATGTAATTTTTGTTTTAATTTTTGTGAGTTAGTGTGTATTTGCATATGAACATATATATTAATACATTTGATTGCATTTTTATTTTTTATCATTAGTGAGTCCTAGTCAAAAAAATTTCAAAGTTACTGCCTTAGAGAGGCTGTGGCATGTGTGCACATGTTTAATTACACATTTCAGCATTATTTAGGTAAAGCAGATGGCCGCTCACTGAATAAAAGTTTAAACTAAATATTATATTATTAAATTGTAATTGTTACTTAGTGGACAAACAAAGCAAAACATATGTAATGTATCTGTAGTTTTGTCACTCATATTTCTTTGTTTTACTTAGCTGGTCACCTGACTTTTGAATGCCGCAATTTTCTCCGAGTAGATCCCAAAAGGGATATAGTTTTGGATGTCAGCAGCACAAGCAGTGAAGAGAGTGATGAAGAAAATGAGGAACTGAATAAACTACAGGCATTACAAGAAAAAAGTAAGCAATACTTTTTTTCCCCTCCAACGTTTAAGATTGTTTCTAAATGTCCTGCTGTATTATGTCATCTTTATCTATTGTTCTATTTGTCATTAAGATAGTTTGCATTTTATGTAAGAAGTATTGCATAGGTAAGGAAATAGGCTTGAACGTTGTAACTTGCCCAAAGTCAAACAGTTGATCAGTGATAGAACCTGCAGGCAAGTATGTTTCTGATTCTGCAACCCAGGTTTTACCATGTTTCATTTTGTTTTTCCATCTCACTGGAATGTATCACATGGTACAAAGAGTCTAAAGGATTGGATCGTCAAATCACACTCATTAAAATCAGAGATCTTAGCAGTATCAAGCTTTAGTTGACCCTTGAACAACATGGATTTGAATTGCATGGGTTGACTTTCATACAAATTTTTTCAGCATTACATACTAGAATAATAAACAAGCTGCAATTGATGGAATTCACAGTTTCAGAACCATGCACATGGAGAAACTGTGTATGTGGAAAGCCAACTATAAATTATACTTGGATTTTGGACTGCAAAATTACAGAAAATTTATTTCCTCACAAAATTTATTTCCTAACCCCTCTGCCATTCAAGGGTCAACTGTAACATCATGTATGCAGATGACCATGTGGCATAGCAAAGAAGCAAGAGTTCTGGGACTATAGTACAACCTCCCAGATTCCCGCTCTGGCCACGGTTAACATAAAAGGTTTCAACATTACTTACAGAAAAGAAAGTCATTTTGGTCATGAAACACCTTAATTTTGTGCCCAGACAGTTAAATTTCCCAGGGATTATGGATTTATGCCCCATAAATCCCTAGCTTCCAGGATTATTTACCATAAGCAGTCCTAGACCAACCAAGTACATTCAGCTATAAGCAGTCTATAAATAAGGATTCTTCTGCCAACAGCTTGATTATGGACTTCTAACTTTCAGAACTGTGAGGAAAAAAATTTCTGTAATTTAGTCATATACCACCTCCTCCCCACCCCCAAAAAAGGATTCTCTGGCTAGCACATACTAGTAATTTATTTCCAGGAAATCTGTCATTAGCATGTTTATAAAGAAATTTGGCCAAGTTACCTTTTTTCTTTCCTGAGGCATCCTCCTTTCCCCTGCAAAAGAGAACAAATTTCAGACCAACTGTTTAACCATTTGTTTTCCATCTTGTGTATAAAATGACCTATCTTTGCAGTGGGGTTTTTAAGGATAAAATGTGATGCCATATGTGAAAATATTTTGTAAACTACAAAATGCCATATTGGTGGTAGTTGTCACACAGAAGCAAAATGCAGCTTATTTGAATATGGGTTTAGGCATAGAGTGAGACAGATACGAAACAGTTAAACTTGTTTTTGATCATAAGAGAACAATAAACACCTTAAATTTTTTTAACCTTTCCATATAATGTCCAGTGAAGGTAAGTGGAAAAAGTCAAATGCCAGGGTACTAGGACAAGCTGAGAAGGCAGAAGAAGGGTAGTATCCCAAAGAAGGCAGGTGAGAGTAAAGGAAATATGAGTCAATATAACTTCAGGGATAGCTGCTTGAATATATATATTTTTTCTTTTGCTCCCTACTGAAACAACACTAAAATAATAGTAGAAGAATTTTTAATTTTTTTTTTAATTTTTTTTTCCATTTATTTTTATTAGTTGGAGGCTAATTACTTTACAACATTGCAGTGGTTTTTGTCATACATTGAAATGAATTAGCCATGGAGAAGAATTTTTTAAAGACCCAAATTCACAAGGACAAAGAAAACAAGAGTCAGAAAGTTTGGGTTAGTGATAGTGGACTCACACTTTAAGAGAGCTCAACCCTTTTAACAGTGTGAAAAGCTGAGAAATAACCTGAGTATACACTCTAAAACCCCCTGAAGTCTTGATAATGAGTATCCTTGGGTACCTCTGAAAGTGAGAATGTAAGACTAAAAACAGGGATTGCTTCAAAGCATGAAGTAGTTAATGCTCCATTCCCTTTCCCTACTCGGTGAAGCCCTGTCATCTCAGCAGACTGCCACAGATCTGTTTTCTAGACAGGGTCAGATCAACAGTCTTTAAACTGGGACACACCAAACACAAAGGAAGATATTTAAGTTTAAGGTTAGATACAGAATGGTGAGAGCCTTCTAGCTTTCTTCACCTATTGGTTCCCAGATATATATCAGTCAGGCAGAAGATCTGAAGATACATCCCTGGGAAATCTGACCAGCCTAAGAAGAAAGAAATAAGGATAGTGACATTAGGGATCCTTCAAAGACAAGATCTCCCCAGTTAGCTGGTGAAGTCTGCACTCCTAAGTTTCACTTGCTAAAAGCTTTTTAGACAGTGAGGAGTGCTAAATTTCTGCAGAAGGATTTTCACATGAAATATAGATTTCAAAACACAAACAAAAAATCAACTTGAGAAATTCACAGTCTGTAGAGGGAGAAAACTTAGCAGAAATAATAAATATTTAGTTTCATAGAAAGAGAAGATCTAGCACACATGAATATAAATAAAACCAACAAAGAGGCTTTTGAAAATTAAAAATGAAGCAGATATGGAAAACTTGATAGAGTTGGAAGGTAAAGTTGAAAAAAACAAGAGCAAAGTGAGAGAAAAAAGATAGAACAATTGAAGGGTCATTCTAGAAAATACTTCATTCAAATGAATCCCAGAAAGAGAAGAAATAATTTCCAGATGAAAAGGTTTAACAAGTACTAGGCACAGTGTTAAAAATATCCCACACAAAGGACACTATAATGAAACTTAATATACGATAGAAACTGAAAGATGTAATCCAGACTTCCAGAGTTGAGAATAAGGCAGGTCATAGGTGAAGAATCAGGAGTCAGAATAGTGTACGTCTCTAAACCAATATTGGAAGCTAGTAGAATGTGGATCATGCTTTCAATTGTTGAAGAAAAGTTATATCCAAGTTAGGATAATATACCCAACCAAATGATTAATCAAATGTGAAAGTACAGTAAAGACATTGTCAGACATTCAAGTCTGAAAAAACAATTTCCTTCTCACTGTTTCTCAGAAAACCTCTGGAATAAGTGGTTTATCTACCAATGTAAGGGAATACACTGAATAAAGGAAGACAGGAATGTAGGGAATAGAAAAGATAAGAAGGGAAATTTGTAGCATGCTGGTAAGGAGATATTCCAGAAAGACAGCTGCACCAAAATGGAGAGTAGCCAAACCACATAGCACAACCAAAGATTCTAGGAGAGAAAGCCTAAGATCAAAGGATACTTTCTACCCCTTTCACCTATACTGCCCTATTTTTAAAAAGACAAATGCACAAGAGTTTAGAATTAGGAAAAATCTTTAGAACAAATAATTTAAAACCCTAGTTTTGTAGAAGAAGAAAATGAAAACAGGTGACTTTCCAAAGTCACTCACTGGTCACAATAGAGCCAACATTTCTTGCCATGATCCAGGTTTCTTGCCTACTTGTCCTATAGTATTTTCATTGCTATGTGCTGCTCTCCTACCTTAGATATCATCCAGTCTGTTGGTTCTTGACCTTTTTGTCCTTTATCACATCAATCTTAAAGGATAAACTACACTCCCATCATGAATAGTGGTTTATTATAGAGATGATTTTTCAATCAGAAGACCAGGGACAGATCCACTTTGGGAGAAAGGGGAGGAAGTAGCATATAATACCCTCCAGGACAGAGAGTAGTTGGTGAAGCTTTATTATTAGCATCAGCTTTCTGGCTCAGATGGTAAAGAATCTGCCTGCAGTGCGGCAGGCCCAGGTTCGATCCCTGGGTGAAGAAGATCCCCTGGAGAAGGGAATGGCTGCCCACTCCAGTATAGTAGGGCTTCCCTGGTGGCTCAGCGGTAAAGAATCCACCAGCAATGCTGGAGACCCAGGTTCGATCCCTGGATTGGGATGATCCCCTGGAGAAGGGAGTGGCTACCCACTCGTGTATTCTTTACTGGAGAATTCCATGAACAGAAGGACCTGATGCACTACCGTCTATGGGATCATGAAGAGTTGGTCACAGCCAAGCAACTAACACACACACAAAGAAGGGACCATATTTATTTCATGATCACCAAATGGAATCCCAGTGTTGTTCTTCAATCGCTAAATCATGTCAGACTCTGCTATCCCATGAACTGCAGCACGCCAGGCTTCCCTGTCTTTCACTACCTCCTAGAGTTTGCCCAAACTCATGTCCTTGAATCAGTGATGTTATCTAACCATCTAATTCTCTGCCACTCCTGTCTCCTTTTGCCCTCAATCTTTCCCAGCATCAGGGTCTTTTCCAATGAGTCGGCGCTTCGCGTGAGGGGGCCAAAGTATTGGAGCTTCAGCTTCAGCCCTTCCAATGAATATTCAACGTTGATTTCCTTTAAGACTGACTGGTTTGATCTCCTGCTTTCCAGGGGCCTTTCAAGAGTTTCTCCAATACCACATTTCAAAAGCATCAGTTCTTTGGCGCTCAGCCTCCTTTATGGTCCAGGTCTCACATCCATACATGACTGCTGGAAAACTGTAATTTTGACTATACGGACCTTTGTCAGCAAAGTGATATCTCTGATTTTTAATATGCTGTCTAGGTTTGTCATGGCTTTCCTTCTGAGGAGCAAGCATCTTTTAATTTCATGGCTGCAGTCACCATCTGCAGTGATTTTGGAGCCCAAGAAAACAAAATCCATCATTGTTTCCATTTTTTCCAATCTGTTTGCCATGAAGTCATGATCTTAGTTTTTTGAATGTTGAGTTTTCACTGTCTTCTTTCACTCTCATCAAGAGCATCTCTAGTTCCTCTTTGCTTTCTGACATTAGTGGTATCATCTGCATATCTGAGGTTTGATGTTTCTCCCAGCAATCTTAGTTCCAACTTGTGAGTCATCCAGCTGTGCATTTCACATGATGTACTCTGCATGTAAGTTAAATAAGCAAGTGACAATATACACTGAAAAAAAGATGTCCTTTTCATCATAGGGGATTGGAATGCAAAAGTAGGAAGTCGAGAGATACCTGGAGTAACAGGCAAATCTGGCCTTGGAGTACAAAATGAAACAGGGCAAAGGCTAACAGAGTTTTGCCAAGAGAACACACTTGTCATAGCAGACACCCTCTTCCAACAACACAAGAGAAGACTCTACACATGGACATCACCAGATGGTCATTACCAAAATCAGATTGATTATATTGATTATTTTCTTTGCAGCCTAAGACAGAGAAGCTCTAAACAGTCAGCAGAGATAAGACCTGGAGCTGACTATGGCTCAGATCATGAGCTCCTGATTGCAAAATTCAGACTTAAATTGAAGAAAGTAGGGGAACCCACTAAACCATTCAGATATGACATAAATCAAATCCCTTTCAATTATACAGTGGAGGTGACAAATAGATTCAAGGAATTAGATCTGGTAGACGGAGTGCCTGAAGAAATATGGACAGAGGTTCATAAGGCTGTACAGGAGGTGGTGACCAAAACCATCCCCAGAAAAGAGAAATGTAAGAAGTCAAAGTGGTTGTCTGAGGAGGCCTTACAAATAGCTGAGAAAACAAGAGAAGTGAAAGGCAAAGAGGAAAGGGAAAGACATACACAACTGAATGCAGAGTTCCAAGAATAGCAAGGAGAGATAAGAAAGCCTTCCTAAGTGAACAATGCAAAGGAAGCCCAGTAACCCCTACCCAAATAAACCATAGGTTGGGTCTGAAGCACACAGAGGAAGGGCGTCTAGAGGCTGTGGTGGTTAGTTCCATTGATAATTTGCTGATGTTGTTCAGTCTCTGAAAGGGTAAGTTCTCGGTGTCAGTGACTGAGTGCATCCTTGACCTGCATCCTTTAGGTAATCCTAGGGGCTCCTTGAATTCTTCCTTAGTCCTTAGAGCTAGAGAGATCTTATACCAGCTCTCTTGAATATTGTAATTTTTTTAATGATATAATTAAAATAGCCAGGAGAAAGCAAATAGTTTTTAGTGTACTTATATAAGTCCTTTGTTAGATGCCTGGATTACAAATATTTTAATCCCAATATGTAGCTTGTCTTTTCATCATCTTAATAGGTGTTTCACAGAGCAATAGATTTTAATTTTTATGAAGTCCAATTTATTAATTTTTCCTTGTAGATTGTGCTTTGCTTTCAAGTGTAACTTTTAACCTATCTCTTGGTCTCCTTTACTTTTTTCTAAACTTTTTATAGCTTTATATTTTACATTAAGTCCTTCATCCATTTGAGTTGATTATTATATAAGATATGAAACTTAGAGCACTTAGTATTTTGCTTAAGAATGAACAATTGTTCCAGCACTGTTCATTGAAAGGCTGTCTTTCCTTCATTGAATTTCTTTTGCCAAAAATAATTGATCATATTTGTGTGGGTTTGTTTCTGGATTGTCTATAATGTTCCATTGATCTATGTGTCTATCCTTCCACCCATTCTTGATTAATGTAGCTATACAATAAGTTTTGAAGTTGGAGGGATGGAGTTTTTCTACTTTATTCTTCTTTTTCAAAATTATTTCAACTTTTCTAGTTTCTTTTTCTTTTCATAAAAATTTTGGAATAATGTTTTCATCTGCAAAGAATCCTGCTGGGATTTTGATACTCATTGCATTAAGCATGTTTATCAATTTGGGGAAAATAGACACCTTTACTATGTTGAGCATTCCAACCCACAAGAATAATATGTCTCTATAATTATTTAGATCTTTGATTTCTTTTCTTATCACTGTTTACTTTTCAGCATATAAATCCTACATGTTTCATTAGATTTATATCTATAAACATTTCTTTTTGGAAAAATTGTAAATGATGTTTTTTTCATTGTCTGCATGAGTATATAGAAATATATGAGTATATAGAAATGCAGTTTATTTGTGTATGTTTATCTTTTATCCTTGTTGAACTCACTGATTATTTCTGGGAGTTTTTGGTAGATTTCTTGAAATTTTCTATGTAAACCATCATGTCATCTGCATATCAGAACAGTTTTACTTCTTTCATTTTGATCTGTAAGCCTTTTATTTCCCTTTCTTGCCTTATTGCTGTGGCTAGAACTTACACTACTATATTGAAAAAGAGTAGTGAGAGATGAATTCTTACCTGGATTCCATCCCTGGGGGACAGAAACATTCAGACCTTAGCTGTTAGCTGTCAGTTTTTTTGTAGCCATTCTTTATCAAGTTGAGGAAGTGTCCCTCTATTCCTATTTTGAAAGAGTTTTTATCATGAATGGGTGTCAGATTTTGCCACATGCATTTTCTGTATCAATTGATAGGATCCTACAGTTTTTCTTTAACCTGTTAATACACTAGATCACATTAATTGATCCTACAGTTTTTCTTTAACCTGTTAATACAGTAGATTACATTAATTGATTTTTTAATATTCAGTCAGCCTAGCATACCTTGAGTAAGTGACATTTGGTCATGGTGTATAATTTTTAAAAAATATTAAATACTGAATTCTCTCTGCTAATGTTTTGTTAACGGTTATTTGCATCCATGTTCATGAGAGATGTTAGTCTTTTTTTCTAATTTTGTACTGTTTTAATCTGATTTTGGTATCAGAGGAACATTAGCTTCGTAGAATATTGAGAAGAGTTTCATTCTCTTCTGCTCATTAGATAAGATTATATAAAATTTGTATTAATCCTTCTTTGAATGTTTGGTATCACAGGGGAGGAAGTCTGTGTTCTTCACTCAGCCTTTGATGATGTGGGTGGTGTCACATTTTCTTCTGTGGTGTTTGGCTGGAGAATGGCAATTATTATCTAAAAGCTTGCTGTCACAGTGCAGTCTCTTTTTTGGTCCTTTGACTAGAAAGAGCAGATTCTTGTTGGGGCATTTTTGTCTCCATGTGTTGACATTGCCAGGTTGCCAGCTTCTGTAGCTCTTAAGTCTGTGCTGTATAAAGCAAAAAGATATTTCAGGGAACTCAGTACTGGGTCGTTTTCTAGCTTATACAAGAACCCTAGCTAGTGTCTACCTTTTCACCTTTCAGAGTCATCTTATGCTTGTTTTTGTTATGTCTGGAATGTGTAGTTATACTTAATGAGAGGAATAGGAAATATATGTCTACTTCATCTTCCTAGAAGCAGTTCAGCTGATTTTTTACAAAGGTAAAAAGGCAATTCTGTGTAGAAAAAGTCTTTTCAGCAAATAGTGCTAGGATAAATGAATATTTTTAAAAGTGTTAAGTGAAAGAAGATGAAAAATACTGTATATGCTACATTTTTCAAATGAGAAAAAACTTGAAACTTACATGTAACTTAATTTGTATATGTAAATGTATGTTTGTATTTAGTTATATACAAAGTCTAGAATAACACACACCAAATTGTGTATTTAAAAATCAAGCTAGAGAACAATGCATATTCTCTCCTTCCAAGATGCTGACAACGCAAATATTAGTTCTGTTGTTATTGTCCCATTACCCTAGGGTTTCGTGATCCTAATTTTGCTTGAAAAGGAAAATTTTTTAAAATTACACCTGATTGTGTCGTTTCATTTCTTAAGGCCTGAAATAGTACCCACCAAACTGTCAATATAGATTAGGAATCAGAAATGAAATACTTGAAGTTTTTAGTAAATATACATAATTGATTTGAAATTTGTATTAAAAGCATAGTGGTTTTTTTTAGATTTTTAATGAGTAAAAATAATCAAGAAAGGGGACATTGTTATAAGAAAAGTGCAGATCCTGACCAGTGAAATTCACCAACCAACAGCCAAAATTTTAAAATGTATAAAATACTAACATCATATATTAATGGATATATGTGGGATCTAGAAAAATGGTACAGGTGAACCTATTTACAGGGCAGGAATAGACACAGATGTGGCGAGCAGACATGGACACACAGGAAAGAGGAGAGAGTGGGGTGAATTGGAAGGCCGGGCCTGCCGAACGTATACTGCCACGTGTGAAACAGATAGCCAACGGGAAGCTGTTGCATGGTGCAGGGTGCTCAGCCTCAGCGTTCTGTGGTGACCTCGATGGGTAGGGTGATGAGGGGCGGTAAGAGGAAGGCGATGTATGTATACATAGAGCTGATTCACTTTGTTGTACAACATTGTAAAGCAGCTATGCCCCAATTTTTTTTTTAAATGCTTACATACCACAATAATAAATAGACTGATGGTGACCTGATTCTTTCCCCTCAACACACAGGAATTAATGAAGAAGAGGAAAAGAAAAAAGCAAAAAGCAAAGAGAAAATCAAGTTGAAAAAAAAAAGGAAGAGGTATTTTTTTAACTTTTTTTTTAAAAAAATAGGACTGAATATGGGATGGATTAAAAAATTTTATTTTTCACATTACAGTCTAGTTAATTTAATATTGATGAGAGTTCGGTTGTTTCAGTAAAATAACAAAATCCTTCATGTCAGGATTCAAAAATAAAGTCAGCACTCAGGTACCTTAAATTTTCTTTTTTGGAGCAAATTGAGATATAAATAAATAACAGCCCCACCTGCTTCTTTTATGTATTCTGTTTGTGTTCTAGAATTTTTAAATTATGGAACACTAGTCAAGTTTTAATTTGGACATATGTTGAAATTCTTCACATACACATCTTGTCCTGATATATATGAAGTTGGGGCTTAAATGTCAGTATTCTCAGAATGTCATTAGTTAATTAATTAATTAATTGGATTTGTGTACCTATTTGCCATGCTAAAAATTCCTTCCGGTCTTTCAGAATTCTCAACTACCTATGATTTTTTTTACTGTCAACTCTTTCAACAGTTGGTTAAAGAAATTGATCCAAAGACTTAAGAGGCAACTTCTTCCTTGGTTCATGAGTGCACTTTCATTTATACCAGAATAAGCATGTACGTATAGGCACTATTTAAGGTATTTAGCAGGTAGTAATATCTAGCTTGGACATTAGTTCTCTGATAGAGTAGGTTCTGCATGTCAGGTGTTGTCTCTGTAGTTTTTGTAGAGCATGAAATATATACACTCTTAACACCTCAGCTACTATACATATTGGAAGTTAGCTCACTTTCAGGTGTTGAGAGTTAAATAACAATGTTTGATGTAAGAACTAATAAAGGAAGATAGAGCTCAGTGTATCACCTAGTCTGATTAGCGTATTGTTTTGTCATTTGTGCTAGCACAACATAATGGATTCCTTGTAGGAAAAGTGAGATTTTCTATTTTCTTCCAAATTTTCATATACTGATTTTAGAGTAACATATTATTTATCTTAGGCTTCACAGACCTCTTTCAGACACAGCCCAGAATTAAAAGAACTTTTCTAAGTACACTTTTAGCAAAGATAATGCCACTTAAAGTAGTTGCTATGCTAAAGTTTAACATTCTGCCTTAAAAAAAGAGAATCCAAGTCCGAAAAGGCAAAGAAAAAAGTATAGGCAGAGAAGCAGCCCTGGTCAGAATATAGAGGTCAAGAGGGTCTTGAAAACAGGAAAGCAGACAAGAGTTGAGAAAAACAGAACTGAAGCGAGTGCCGGAGAATCCATGAGAAACCAGGCTCGGGAGACAGCCAGCGGCTGGGCAGGCAAATGGGGAAAGGAGGGGACGCAGTGTCCAGAGACCCAGGAGACCGGTCCCCGGCCAGGGCATTCGCGGTGAGGCCCTCCGCAGACGCAGCCTGTGGCCTCCGGTGTCTGCCTCTCCTTCTCCTGTGTGTGTCTGCCAGCTCTTCTCAGCTGGAGTTTAACTTCCATGTTTAGATCACTCATCTAACTCTGGGACACCTTTTTTATTATAAATTAACTCAGTTCCTGTTTTGTTACACTTACTTGGGGTTTAAATCATACTCATTTACTTCGATTATACATTTAAAAGTATCATTTTGTAACTACTGAAAATTATTATGGAATGCAACTGTTCATCTGTATCACTCTGTATATAAAAGAATCAAGTACTTTAACTTGAAAAATAAAAAAGAAATAACAAGTGTTTTTATTTTGCCAATTTTCAGCTTTCATACATTTATATGGAGGTACAATTATAGCTTTTTTATATTATTGCATTCTTTGTGGCTCTTAAGAGAATAAACTAACAAGTTATTGTGTACACAGTGAATTGTGTATATAATGAGAGTGTATAAGATGCCACTTTGTTTGCCTTTTAAGAAAGATTTTGAAGGGTACACAGGATGAGACACTGAAAATCACAGAAAAATTATTTCATCCTTGCTGAATTTAAAACTCATAACTGGAATTGAGCAGAATAGAGATATTTTGTTAGTTTCTCTGGCTAAGTGGCAAAAATTCTGATTACAGTATTTTAAGAGCACACAGATGTAAAAGGCACAGTTCATTTGAGTTTCTTTATATTCTCACCCTGTTCCAAGAAGGATTTAAAGCAGTTCGGATCCCATTTAAATGCGCCCATCAGCCATAAATACAGTTATCAGTCAGTATGTATTATTACCCATAGGTCTTATTCATCTAGTTCCACTGAAGAGGACACTTCAAAACAAAAGAAGCAAAAATACCAGAAGAAAGAAAAGAAAAAGGAGAAAAAGAGTAAGTCAAAAAAAGGGAAGCATCACAAAAAGGACAAAAAGAAGAGAAAAAAGGAAAAGCATTCCTCTGCCCCTAATAGTTCTGAAATCTCCAAAAAGTAACTGAGCCTGGCCTGAGCTATTAAATTTAAAAATTTAGTTTTGAAAATTATTTGACCTTCTTTGAAATTTGCCATATAATTATGCTTTGCAATAAATCACAGCCATTTCCATATAGACATTTTTTTCATATATAGGACCATTAATGTCTGACAATATTTTAATGTGCTATGATTATAGAGTATTGAATCAGTCTTATTACTTGATAGCCATGCCCCAAGTATGGATATCTGTGCAACAAAACTCATCATTTTTGGTATTCCTTTCTGTGTTAATGTTATTACTTCATAAGCTGATTGTAAATTGCTTTTCTACAGTCAACACAGGCAGTCTACCTAGCAGTAAATGAATATTGCTGGATTAAGTGTCCATCTTCCAGTAATAAAGCAAGGTAGGCTTGACACTGAAAATTTTAAAAGCTTTATATCCTATGATAATATATTACTATTAAGATAATTAAATTCTTCACTTGGATTTTTTTTTTTTTTTGGATGTCATAGGAGATGAAGCTGCTTTATTGGTCTTGACTAGAACTTTTTAAATGAATGGTGTCAGCAGGAATATGATAATGAAAATATTTATAACAAAATTTCACTGTTTTCTGAGATGCAGAGTTTCTGGTACCTGCCTCCTTCGTTTTTGTAACAAAATATTTCTTCCTTGTTTAAAAAGACAAGTCTAATTCAACCTATTTGTAAGTCTGGTAGAGATGATGCTGTGTTGGGCAGGATTTTTAGGACAGACTCCTGGGTTGTTTTACAAATGTGCCATATTGGCATGTCTTAAAGAGATACCTCAAACACAGAGTTTTTTATTTAGAAGGACAACAGCTAAATCTTCATTAGGACTGATTTTTATTGTATTCAGTATATAAATTTTATGAAGCTTGTTTCTATGAGTAATGTGGAAATTTTTATAAATGTGAACATATATATTTATNCCTTGTGTAGGACAGGAGTGGTAAGAATCAAGACCACCATTCTAGGTTCTTAGTATAAGAGAAAGAGGTTTTATGTACCATGTTTGGGAGCTTGGACTTTATCTGTAAGCAAGAGACCCCACCAGAGAGTTTTAAGAAAAAAATGCTACAGAGTAGCAGAGTCAGACACAACTTAGTGACTGAACAATGAACAAGGAAAGAAGTGACTTTTATTGGGGTTTGGTTCCATCCATTTCATAATCCAATTCACAGTTTTTAAAGGATGAACTTGCTTTCATCAGAAGCCCACATAAAGAATAATTTGAAATTTTGATTTTCTGTTATTTGGTGTCTTATTCTAGGCCCACTTTTCTTTCTGAGTTCTGATTATTTCTAAAAGCTACAGTAACTTAAGTTTTTTAAAAAGCTACTGTCTTCTTTATCAGACCCATCCTGGAATGCTTTGCTTTTAGTTTTATTTTAGGTTATTTTGGACAGAATATATTCTGTCATAATGTTAGTATTTTTGGTCAAAATAAATCATTTAAAATATATTTTTCAATGTACAGACTATAATAATTCAGTAAGCCTTCTTTTAATATCTTGTCTCCATATAGTGAGTATTATGAAGCACAGCTGCTTCAAAGTCACAGTGTCACACACAGTTGGTCCACTCCGTGAGCCCTGTCGCTCTCCCTCGGGTTCCCCGGCTCAGCAGGGAGTGCGCCACAGACATCAGCCAATACGAGTGCTGAGACTTAATTTTTCCCAGGCATTTGGCATCCAAGAATAGTAGGGGTTTTTTTATGCCCACTAAGTGATACTTTCACTTGCAAAGCCCAGGGTCTTCAGACCTCATTTGTCTCCTCTAACTCCTCCAGAATTTTGCAGAGTGCCAGAGAATTGGGTTGCCTCCCTGAGAGCACAACCCATGATGCATGCCCAACCCCAGCTTGCCTTTCCGAAAGGTTGGGAAGAGTCGGGAATCAGGAGGATTTTGCTGGCCCTGCCCGTCTTAAGTTTCCTGCTTCTTATTCTTTATGGCCTCTGCTCTTGCCCTTACGCAACAAAAAATAGACTAACCAGTGCCTTAACTAACTTTCTCAACTGAGATTTTCACCTGAGGCAACATCTAATTAGTAATATAACTATTATTATCTGTGTATCAAGGTAGCCAATTGTCTGGGATTTTTTTTTTTCATCAAAGCTGGATCTGAGATCAAGAACTACCCACAAATGCTTTGTGTGCTTTCTCAAAAAATAAATGAAAATTCTTTGCTTTTATAACCACATAAAATGTCATTTTTGTAGTGGAAATGTTTCAACTTTCAGACTTCACACACACTCTAAGCAATTTTAACGTTTAAACATTGGCAAAACTGTGTTCCTTTTGAATTGGATATACAACACAGGCAGTAGGATGTTGCAATAATGACCTGGAATTATTGCTGTCAATTTAGCCACACGTGGCTGTTGAAATTTAGATTAATTAAATGAAAAGGTGTTTCTTCAGTTGCACTAACCACATTTCAAGTGCCCAGTGGCCACATACGGTTGGTGGCTACCTTGCCAGACAAGACTGATACAGAAGGAACATTTCCATCATCACATAAACCTCTACTGGACAGTGCTAGAATTCCCAATTCTTGGTAGAAATTTTGACAGGCTAATGATCAAAAGTTTCTAACCCTGAGCTTTTCATGCCAAAGAGAAATAAAGCATTCCTTACCTGCCCCCTACCCTAACAAATCAGAGTGTATTTGGCACATCTTGCTAGGCTAGTCTTACAAGTACAGAAACTTTGTACAACACAGTGGATACGTTTAGTAGAGCCAGCTTAAAATTAATTCTTTTTTTTCCTATTGAATTCCATTATAGGACCAGGTCTCCATTCTTATAATAGAAATCATATTTATGAATAAAAATCTTTTAAAGCAGGTTTAATTTGCAGAAACTGTAGTTTTATTTCTAGATGTCTAAATGGTACTACTGCAGTAGACTTAGGTGGGACCAGAGAGGTAACTTGTTTGCTTTATAACTTTCATTCTAGAAATTCCTTAGGAACTTTATCAGTGAAGGATTTTTGTTATTACCCCTTGGTATACAGAAAATATTTATCATGCAGATTATACATGATGATATATTTTGTTATCAAATATTAGTTTTTATAAAGGCAATAATACATTGTGTGCTCAGCAAATCCTCTGAAAAAGGCGTGGGTTGATTTCTAAGAGACTTAAGAGCATGCCACTTCTCGTTCATAAGGCCACCTCTCTGAGATTTACCTTATCTAGTACCATCTCATAAAAATAACTGCCTCCAAGAATGAGAAACTTGTGAAATTCTGGTAATGTGACATAAACTTCTCATTGTTCCTCACTGACATAGGTGTGCTAATCTGTGTTACTGATAAATTCTATAATTTCTCCTGAAATGTTAGCATAATTTCATGTAATGTAGAAACAACATTAATTAGCAAATAAAAGTAAACTTACTCACATGGAAATCTATCAGAAACCTAGTGGATATTTAATAAATTAACTGAATGATCAAAACTGTGACTGTGTCTGGCTTTCTGTGTGGCAAATTTTTGAAAAGTATTATTACAAACTGTATTTGAAGTGCACTGTTTATTTTTTTGCTCCATCTCTCCAGTGAGCTTTTACAGCACAGGATTTTTAACAATAAGCAGTGTTGATTTGTGTCGTATCCATTGTTTTTTCTTGAATTATATCATCAGCCTCATAGAACGTTTCATTTGTTGAATTTGATGCTGCATTTGAACGGGGGACTTTGCTTTTTCTATTTGAGTCGCCTGCAAATAAATACACAAAACAAAATGAAATAATTATTTGAAATTATGACATCAAATTTTACTTTAAAATTTGTCCTTAAAAAATAAACTTCTTAGAATATTGGAAATAAGATGTCCTCTAAGCACTGTGGATGAGTAAGAATTGAATCATTGCAGAGTTGTTCTTGAGCATTTTCTCCTGAAGGTCAAGTAAGGGAAATTTTCAGTAACAAAAGTAAGGATTTTGTTTCCATGCTTACCTTTCTTTCTCTACACTTCCATGGAGGAAAGTACACTTTTGATCAGAAGGTAACAATTTCTGGGTTGCTTAGTAAAAGTGTGACTGTCCCTATGCATGAAGTGAACAAAGCTAAAGTCCGTCATAATTTACAACAATCTCAAGGTTTTGCCGTTGTAATCAGTTTAGATGTAACATTTAAAGAGCACATGTTTGTTCCACAATCCCATTAACTCAGTTTATGTAAATGAGTCCAGAATGCTCAAGGGTGGAGGAATATGGATCTTTGCTCATCAGAAGTTAGACTAACAAGCTCATAGTGAAGAAATGGGTTATTATAATCAGTGGTAGAAAAATTAAATATGAAAATAATATGTATTTCAGCAATATATACAAATTTAAATATATTTTTAAAATTTACAAATACGTGAAAGCAGTGCAAGAAGTCACAGATGGTGCTGTTCACCAACCCCCTGTTGCTAAACCCACAGTCCACTTCACAAGCCACATTTATTTGACCCATCAGTTGCACGTTCTTTCCTTGGCTTCCTAGATGCCACCATTCCTCGACTCACTCCAGTGTCTCCTAGTCTTGTTGGTCCCTTTTCCTCTTCTAGGCTGAGAAGGGCCTGTGGGCTCCAGCCATGGGTTCCTATCGCTGTCTCACTCCCTTATAAGTCTCAATTGCCCCGCAGTTTTTAACACTATCTCTGCTGATCATTCCCAGATACATATCTCTAACCCACACCTCTCCTGAACTCTAGACTCAACTGCCTAGTTGCCATCTCCACTTGGATATCTAATAGACATCTTCAAGTTAGTCCAAAACTGATATTTGGATCATTCCCAGGAAGGAAAAAAAAACAAACTTCTTACAGTCTTCATCTTCTCGATTGCTGGCAACTCCATGTGCTCAGTTGCTCAGGACTAAAACCCCAGTCGGCCTTGCTCCTGTTCTCTCAGCCCCACCACCAGTTCATCTGACATCCTGTTGACTACACTTTTAAAATAATCCAGAATCAGACCACCCTCACTACTACCACTGTTCTGTTTTGAGCACAGCACTCAGTAATCCTTTGAAACATAAAGCACACCCCCTACTCAGAACCCTTCATCTCACCCAAGTCTTTATAATAGCCTACATGTTCTCATAAACACACATTA